GAAGATGGAAGATGGAAGATGGAAAATGGAAGATGGAAGATGGAAGATGAAGATGGAAGATGGAAGGTGGAAGATGGAAGATGAAACATGGAAGATGGAAGATGGAAGATAGAAGATGGAAGATGGAAAATGGTAGATGCAAGATGGAAGATGGACGATGGAAGATGGATGATGGAACATGGAAGATGGAAGGTGGAAGATGGAAGATGGAAAATGGATAATGGATGATGGAACATGGAATATGGAAGGTGGAAGATGGAACATGGAACATGGAAAATGGAAGATAGAAGATGGAAGATGGAAGATGGAAGATGGACGATAGAAAATGGAAGATGGAAGATGGAACATGGAAGCTGATGTGAGATGGAAGATGGAAGATGGACGATGGAAGATGGAAGATGGAAGAAAAATCGTGGAAGATGGAAAATGGAAGATGGAAGATACAGCGACGGAAAGTATTGCTCGGATAATTGCCTTAAAACATTTCTCGTACTGGTTTGGTGCCTTCTTTGTTTATTTACGAATCAAATTTCGGGGTTGGATGTAAAGTAGTACTGTACTGTATGTGACGGATGCTGGTTTCAGTTTTATAGGGGTCGATTTTTTACCGAGGACGAGATTTCGTCCGCGTGGGTGCATCCGGACAGTTTAGGCCAAGCAGCGTAGTAGATCTATTTCCTATCCTCGCTATTTCTTCTTACTTGCCCTCGCGACTATCGAGTAGTCAGGAGATAGGCTAGGACCGCTGCGATGATTAGGCCGTCATGAAACCGTTAGATGAGGCGCTCTACGCATAGATCATTCCCTTGTTGCAGAGGGGGTAGAGCAATCGTTGAATCGCTAAACAGCTAGCCATAGGGAAGAGTTCGGCCCATCAAGGCGATTGTAGAGTCTAGCCGCGATGACGTGCGTCCTACGATGCCCTCAGCCGGTCGCCCTCGCTTAGTGACAGAGAGAGTTCGCCGCGGCATAGTTCGGTCGATTACCCTCGAGGAGGCAGAAATCTCTGCTCACGTGGCGAAAATCGTTGAGAAGCAGCACGGCATCACGTTGCATCCTAAGACATTGCGTAACGCTTTGAATGGGAGCCGACTTGTCGCAATCAAGCATCCCAAGAAACCGCGACACTCTCGGAAAAACATACGCGATAGGCTGGAATGGGCGCGTGCCCACGCAGACTGGACGGTTGACGACTAGAAGTGAGTTATCTGTGCGGATGAGACCAAGATCGGTCGTCTTGCATCCGACTGACTCTCATACGCCTGCGTTCACGAAGGGACTGCCCTCCAAAGACACCGAATCAAGCAGATCGTCAAACACGGGGGCGGTTGCTTGATAATTTACGACTGCATGTCGTAAAAGGGAGCAGGCTTCATGAGCAAAACATATGGTAGGGTGGACGGACTGCTCTCGCTGAGTATACTGCAGGACGATCTCAACAGTACGATTGAGCTTTACCAGCTTACACCCTCAAAAACTATCTTCCAGCACGACAACGACCCGAAGCACAAGTTGCGTATCGTACAGGAGTGGCTTTGAGAGTAAGATTCAGGGGTGCTAGAGTGGCCGTCTTCCTCACCCGACCTCAACCCAATGGAGCATTTATGGGCTCATCTCAAGAGGCAGCTGGCCAAGCCTTATAAGCCTCCCACTGGTATGCTGGACCTTTGGGAGCAGGTGCAGGAGAAATGGGAGAAGATCCCGGTGGATGTGTGCACCCACCTGGTGGAAAGCATGCCTAGGGGGGTGAGGGCGGTGTCTAAGGCGAAAGGGCGGTGGATTAGGTACTAGTTAGGGGCTGATGTAACTTGCTGCTTGTGCCTGGCAATAATTGTCCACATGTACCAAGATTGTTATTTTCTAGTATTTGTTGTAAACATCATTATACTAGTGTGATGTAAGGCATGGGCGTGGAGCCTTACCCCAACCTAGATACACTAGGCACACCAGAAGATTAAGTCTTAATGTCCATGACCCCCTAAAATGGCAAAATTCCTCTAAGTCACAAACATGTGGACAATACTTTTCGTCGCTGTAGAAGATGGAAGATGGAAGATGCCAGATGGAAGATGGGAGATGGAAGATGGAGGATGGAAGATGGAAGATGGATGAGAAGAGATGGAAGCTGGAAGATGTGAGATCGAAGATGGAAGATGGAATATGGAAGATGGAAGATGGAATATGTAAGATGGAAGATGGAAGATGGAATATGGAGGATGGAAGGTGGAAGATGGAAATTAGAAGATGAAAGTTAGATGGAAGATGGAAAATGGAATGTGGAAGTAGGAAGATGGAAATGGAAGACGGAATATGAAATATGGAGTATTTTGCCACCCCCTGGAGTGGCATGCAAGTATTTTGCCACCCCCCAGAGTAGCGTGCTAGTGGTTTGCCACCCCCCAGAGTGGCGTGCAACTTGTTTGCCACCCCCCAGAGTTGCGTGCGAATGGTTTGCCACCTCCCTGAGTAGCGTGAGAGTGGTTTGCCACCACCTGAGAGTTGCGTGCGAGTGGTTTGCCACCCCTCGAAATTGGCGTGCGAGTTGTTTGCCACCTCCCAGAGTGGCATGCGAGTGGTTTGCCACCCCCTAGAGTGTCGTGCGAGTGGTTTGCCGCCCTCTGAGAGTGGCGTGCGAGTGGTTTGCCACCCCCCAAAGTTGCGTGCAAGTGGTTTGCCACCTCCCAAAGTGGCGTGCAACTAGTTTGCCACCCCCAGAGTTGTGTGCGCGTGGATTGCCACCCCCTGAGAGTTGCGCGTGAGTTGTATGCCACCCCGCGAGAGTGGCGTGCGAGTGGTTTGCCACCCCACGAGAGTGGCGTGGGAGTGGTTTCCCACCACCCGAGACTAGCGTGTGTGCGAGAGTACGGCCCCGTTACACCACTTGTCCCTTTTCTTATTTCCTTCCTCTTTCATTTCTCTTTTTATCCCATCTCATTTGATTTCCTATCCTCCATTTTCCATTAACCTTTGGTTTATCCTGCTATTATAATTATATCACCGACCAGGCTTGGGATGTACAGGTGCGCTATCTGGCGTAATCCTGCCGTAATCCCCTAAAGCCAATAGCCTCGCGTGGCTTTACGCAGGGTGATTCTATCTTCTAGAAGGGTCTATTCCCTTAGGATAAGATAAACCTGGTTACCTGATGTACCATGGAAATATAAAAGCGCCTTGTACTGATCGATAGTGCAACCTTTCCTCGAGTCATTCGATCCAGTGACACTTGGTAATCAGAGCTTTTCTCACTCGGCCGCGCTCAACAAAGCAGCAGTAGCGGGAAAACCTGCCTCGAAAAACCGCCGGGGGCGACCAATTCGACGCCGATTCTGGTAAGCACCAGCTCCGCGTTTTTTCGAATTACCCCCCCCCCCCCCCCCCGCGTGTTTTGAACAGGATGGCAACCCTCGACAACGCCGAGGTTACCCAGCAGCTCTTCGCGCGCATTGCAGCCCTTTAGGAGGAAATGCGAGCGGATCGCGAAGCGTGGCGAAACGAGTTCGAGCGAGTAACTCGACTCGCCGGAGCGCAGCACGACTCGACAACGGCGACGACGCAGCAGTCGCAGCAGTTTCTCGAGGCTCCTAAACCGCGCCTACCTGAGCCGTTCGATCCGAGCGATCGAAACTCCGACGTCTGCAGATGGATCGCCGGAATGGAGATCTACTTCGCAGCCGTCGGATGGAGCTCGCCAGTCTGGGACGGTCAACGCGTACGACTCGTGGCGACACTGATGCGAGGGCCGGCACTCGAGTGGACTGGTGGCAACAGTACCTTCATCCACGGTGAAGCCACGTGGCAGCAGTTCCGCACCGACCTGCTGAAATGATTCGAGCCGATAAATTCGAGTTTCCTTGCCCGGGAAAAAAATCATCGACACCGACAGTTCGGGAGTGTAGCACAGTACAAGCAGCAGATGGAGGAATTTTATAGCCGAATTCCCGATCTACATGGAGCTACATTAATGTCGTTTCGGCAGCGGAGCGATTCGACATGGTCAACGCCGGGACACGATGGACGCACGTCGGCAGTACGCGACAAGGCGACCGCTCAGCTCACCTCACGTTTGCCGACCCGATAGAAGTCGACAGGTTCAAAGGGCGGCCACGTCCGAAAAACACCAACTACACGTGTGATTTTTGCGGGGTGCCGGGCCATCGAATCTTCGACTGCAACAGAATGAAAACCGCACGCGCAGAGTATCGGGCACGCAACAGTGGTGGAAATTCTTCGGCCAATCAGAAGCCAAAAAACGGGACTCGCCAGTGATTACGGATCTAGCTGGCGAAAATAAAAGATCCGGAAGCGGCCGCGGGATTCCGGGAAAATCAACTTCGACGAAGCTGATTCAACGCGAGAAGGAGGAAATGATGGGGGAAAATCTCCACCCCACGACCAGTCTTCGCCAAAGAAAATCGCCGAGGAGAAATATAACTCCGCGAAAAAGGACTCTGCCGAGACAGGGAAACTCCTTGAAGACCCAAGAAATTATAAGGATTCGTTAAAGTTATCTTACAAAGATGCTTTAATGAAAACTTGTAATTCTCGAGGGACTAGAGCCTTGGAGAAATTTCGGGAGGGACTCCAAAAGAAGCAGACAGCTGTGGAGATTATACCGGTACCGAACAACTTGGGGAAAAAATTAAGGAGTGTGGAAAGAAGCCGACCTTTCCACGGAGTCAACGTCCTCTCCCGACACCAGCCCACAACGACCACCCGTTCCCCAGGGAAGGCGTCCGTGGAGCTGAAGCAGCTCAAGAGGAAGCTGGGGGTCTACAAGAAGCTGCACAAACCCCAAAATCCTCCTATGGATGCATCCAATTCTTCGGCATCAATGACGCGCACAGTCGTCAAGGAAACTCCGGGCCCTGGAGAAGAGCCGTTCTCCAAGCTTCTCAGCCAGCTGCCAGCTCAAGAGTAGATGGCAACACAAAGGTGTGTACGGAATATTGGGATGTATTCTATGACCCAATCAATGAGACTATCTTTGGGTACTCCGAGCAACGCCTGCCCCTCATGCTCGAGGTCATCTGCAAAGGACGACGCCTCCAAGCACTCGTGGACAGCGGAGCATCACACACCGTCTGCAACAAGGCAGTAATCGACCGACTTCGGGAAGAGTACAAGCCTTCAGGATTCTCTGCAACGATGGTGGACGGCAGCAAGTTACCAGTGTACGGCGAAGCAGTGCTACACCTACAAATCGGGCCACTGCGCTGGAGACCTGCACTCCCCATCACCAACATCAAAGGGCTTGACTTGATCTTCGAGCGAGACTTCCTGAAAGGATTCAACCCCGAGATCAACTGGATAAACCGCACCGCAAGCATCTACAACAATGGACGGAGAGTACAGCTACCCAACTGGGATGATACAGGAGATATCCCAGTGGAGACACTCGCACGATTCGAGAAGGACGTGAAGAGAACCGACACCGGGTTCCTGGCGATAGCAATAGAGGTGGAGAACGACGGAGAAAAGATCTCGGAACCTCCGGGAAAGATCAAGGAATTATTGAAGGAGTTCCAAGACATTCTTCCTAACGATCTTCCGAACGAGCTACCGCCATACCGCACACATCAATACGAGATCGTGGAGGAACCGGGTTCGAAGCCAACCTTCCGAGCACCATATCGGCTCAGCCCTACGGAGCTGACCGACATGAAAAAACAGATCGAGTATCTCCTAGCCAAAGGACTCATCCGACCATCCACTTCGCCATACGGTGCCCCAGTACTCTTCACACCGAAACCGGACGGAAGCCTGCGCATGTGCATCGACTACTGAGCTCTTAACAAGCCGACAATCAAGAATAAATATCCGATACCGCGAATCGATGACCTGCTTGACCAGCTTCGGGGAGCTACGGTATTTTCCAAACTGGATCTGCGGTCCGGATACTGGCAGATACGGATGGCGGACAACTCTATCCACAAAACTGCTTTCCGAACTCGGTATGGATCGTACGAGTATTTGGTAATGCCGTTCGGACTCACCAACGCACCCGCAACGTTCCAAGCCGAAATTAACCACATTCTACGACCACTTTTGGACGAGTGCGTGGTGGTGTACCTGGACGACATCCTCATCTACTCACGCGACATGAAGCAACACGGCGAACACCTGCGACGCGTCTTCGAGATTCTTCGACGAGAACGGTTCTACGTCAAACTGTCCAAGAGCGAATTCGCCCTTGAGAAGGTCCAGTTCCTAGGACACATAGTGAGCGCTCAAGGAGTTCACGTCGACCCCAAGAAAATTGAAGCCGTGCATACGTGGAAGACACCCGAGAACGTGAAGGAGTTGCAGCAGTTCCTAGGCTTCGCTAATTACTACAACAGGTTCGTGCAATAGTATGTGAAACTCGCAGCACCACTCACGAATCTGCTGAAAAAGAACACGCCCCACAAATGGGAGTCAAAGCACCAAGAAGCCGTGGAGCAGCTGAAGCAAGCACTCACGTCCGCACCGGTACTCATCTTGCCAGATCCCGAACGCGACTACGTCATCGAAGCTGACGCCAGTGACCAGGCAGTGGGAGCAGTCTTGATGCAACCAAGGAAATGGACTGCAACCAATCGCCTACCTCAGCAAGAAACTACATGGGGCAGAACTAAGCTACCCGATACACGACAAAGAGGCCCTTGCCATCGTCATCGCCTTCAAAGCGTGGAGATGTTATCTCAAAGGACGAAGAACAACCATCTACACTGACCACTGCAGCCTGAAATACTTGAAGACACAACCCAACCTTTCCAGGCGGCAGGTTCGGTGGATCGACTTCCTCGAGACACACTTCCACTACGACATCGTGTACAAGCCCGGCCACAAAAACAAAGCAGACACCTTCAGCCGGCCTGCACACATTGCCGCTATTCAGATCGAAGGGATGAATCCACTACTCAAGGGACTCTTCACACACGGGTACGCCATCGACCCCGAAATTCCCTTGGCAGAAAAACGATATCTGCTACAGAGGGACAATGACATCGCGTACCGGAAAGGATCAACAAAAATCTGGGTACCCAATTACCCTCCTTTGCGCCAGTTACTACTCGAAGAATACCACGACGTCCTATACGCCGGACATTTCGGTAGCAACAAGACGCTGACAGGTATCGCAAAACACTACTACTGGCCCCACTTGGCAGAGGATGTTCAGAAATTCGTCACCTCGTGTGATACATGTCAGCGGATGAAGAGCAGCAAGCAAAAAAAGGCGGGACTACTGCAGCCTCTTCCTGTCCCAGAACAGCCATGGCAAGTGGTTAGCCTGGACTTCATCACCGGGTTACCACCTACCACCAGTGGTCATGACGCCATCCTTGTCGTCATCGACAAGTTCTCCAAAATGGGACACTTCATCCCGACACACACGACGGCGCGCACCGAGGAGACAGCACAACTCTTCGTTCGTTACATCATCTCACAGCATGGCATTCCAACCACACTCATCTCCGACCGAAACCCCAAGTTCACCAGCAAGTTCTGGAAGGAACTTATGTCTCTACTCGGGACCAAACTCGCCATGTCATCCGCATACCATCCGCAGATAGACGGACAGACCGAGCGCCTCAACCAAATTGATGAGCAACTCCTCCGAGCAGCCTCCAAAGACGAGATCTCCAAATGGGACCTGCACCTGCCCGTTCTAGAGTTTGCTTACACATGCCGCTACTGGACAGACGCCGTTCTTCCTCTGCTACGCACGCCACCCACTCACACCACAGAAACCGACAACATCCGCTACAGTCCAACCTGCACATGATTTCATCACAACCATGCATCAGCTTTGGGATCGGACCCACAAGCGCCTCCTTGACATTCAGCAGCAACAAAAGCGCCAGGCCGATCGCCATCGCAACGACCACACCATCACGGTGGGAGACCAGGTGCTTCTTGACACCCGCAACCTGGACATCAGCCACCTCCCATCTAAACTATGACCTCGCATCTGCGGGCCTTTCCTCGTTAAAGCACAAGTCACTCCAGTTACCGTCTGCTTACGCCTACCAGCTACTTGGAAGATTCACAACGCCTTCCATGTCCAACTTCTGAAGCCCTATCGGGATCCGAACACGATCTTCGTCGGATGCCAACCACCGCCGCCGCCGCCCGTCCTCGTCCAGAATGAACCCAAGTACGAGGTCGAGTCCGTGCTTGCACACTGCCGTCGTCGGAATGGCGCCGTGGAGCTACTCATCCGTTGGAAGGGTTATGATCCTTCTGAGGACAGCTGGGTACCTGAGTCCGACATGGGTAACGCCCGTCGTCCTCTGCATGACTACCTTGTCAAGCAGGGTGTTACTTCTACCACCCAGCTTTGAGGGGGGGAAGTGTGAGAGTACGACCCCGTTACACCACTTGTCCCTTTTCTTATTTCCTTCCTCTTTCATTTCTCGTTTTATCCCATCTCATTTACTTTCCTATTCTCCATTTTCCATTAACCTTTGGTTTATCCTGCTATTATAATTATATTACCGACCAGGCTTGGGATGTACTAGTGCGCTATCTGGCGTAATCCTCCCGTAATCCCTTAGATCCAATACTTTCGTGTGGCTATACGTAGGGTGATTCTATCTTCTAGAAGGGTCTATTCCCTTAGGATAAGATAAACCTGGTTACCTGATGTACTCTGGAAGTATAAAAGCGCCTTGTACTGATCGAAAGTGCAACCTTTCCTCGAGTCATTCGATCTTGTGACAGTGTGAATGGTTTGCTATCCCATAGAGTGGTGTGCGAGTGGTTTGTCACCCCTCTGAGTGGAGTGCAGCTGGTTTGCCACCCCCCACAGTTGCTTGCGAGTGGTTTGCCAACCCCCGAGAGTAACGCCCGAGTGGTTTGCCACCCCCCCCCCTCGACTGGCATGCGAGTGGTCTGCCACCCTTCTGGAGTGGCGTATTAGTGGTTTGCCACCCCTGTGAGTTGTGCGCCAGTGGTTTGCCACCCAGGGTGGTGTGCAAGGAGGTTGCCACCCCCGAGAGTTGCGTACGAGTGGTTTGCTACCCCCCAAGAGTTGCGTGCGAGTGCTATGCCACCCCCCGAGAGTGGCATGCGAGTGGTTTGCCACCCCCCGTGAGTGGCGTGCGAGTGGTTTGTTGCGCACCTGAGTGCCGTGCGAGTGGTTTGCCACCCCCCGAAAGTGGCGTACGAGCGGTTTGACATCCCCCTAGAGTGGCGTACGAGTGGATTGCAACCCCCTAAGAGTGGCGTGTGAGTGGTTTGCCACCCCCCAGAGTGGAGTGCGAGTGGTTTGCCAGCTCCCGACAATTGCATGCAAGTGGTTTGCCACCCCCCAGAGTACCGTGCGAGAGGTTTGCCACCCCCTGACAGGGGCGTGCGAGTGGCTTGCCACCCCCCGAGAGTGGCATGCGAGTGGTTTACCACCCCCCGAGAGCGCCGTAGGAGTGGTTTGCCACCTCCCCGAGTGGCGTTCAAGTGGTTTGCCATCCCTGGGAGTGGCTTGCGAGAGGTTTGCCACCCCCCGAAGTGGCGTGCCAGTGGTTTGCCACCCCCCGAGAGTCGCGTGAGGGTGGTTTGCCACACCCCAGAGTGGCATGCAAGTGGTTTACCACCCCCCGAGAGTGGCGTGCGAGAGGTTTGCCACCACACGAGAATGGTGTGTGAATGGTTGCCACATGCTAGAGTGCCTTTCGAGTGGTTTGACACCCCCTAAGAGTGGCAAGGGAGTGGTTAGCCACCCCCCATAGTGGAGTGCGAGTGGTTTGCCATCCCCCTGAGTGCTGTGCGAGCCACCTCCCGATAGTGGTGTGGGAGTGGTTTGCCACCCCCCGATTGTGGTGTGGGAGTGGTTTGCCACCATTCGAGACTAGCGTGCGAAGGGTTTGCCATCCGCTAGAGTGGCGTGCGAGTGGTTTGCCACCCCCGCGAGTGGCGCGCGAGTGTTTTGCTACCCCCTAGAATGGCGAGCAAGTGGTTTGCCACCCCATGAGAGTGGCGTGCTAGTAATTAGCCACCCCCCAGAGTGGCGTGCAAGTTGTTTGCCACCCCCTAGCCTGGGATGCGAGTGGTTTGCCACCCCCCGAGAGTGGCGTGCGAGTGGTTTACCACCTCCCGAGAGTGGCGTGCGAGTGGTTTGCCACCCCCCCAGAATGGCGTGCGAGTGGTTTACCACCCTCTGACATTGCCATGCGAGTGGTTTTCCACTCCCCAAAGTGGCGTGCGACAGGTTTGCCACCCCCCGAGAATGGCGTGCGAGTGGTTTGCCACTCCCCAGAGTGGCGTGATAGTGATTTTCCACCACCCGAGAGTGGCGTGCGAATGGTTTGCCACCTCGTAGAGTGGTGTGCGAGTGGTTTGCCACCCCCCAAGAGTGGCGTGCGAGTGGTTAGCCACCCCCCATAGTGGCATGCGAGTAGTTTGCCATCCCCCGAGAGTTGCGTGCAAGTGGTTTCGCACCCCCCGAGAGTGGCGTGCCAAAGGTTTGCCACCCCCTGAGTGGCGTGCGAGTGATTTGCCACCCCCGGAGAGTGGCGTGCGAGTGGTTTGCCACCCTACGAGAGTGGCGTGCGATTGGTTAGCCACCCTTGAAGAGTGGTGTGCGAGTGGTATGTCATCCCCTTGAGTGGCGTGCGAAAGGTTTACCATCCCCCCGCGTGGCGTGCGAGTGGTTTGCCACCCTCTGAGAGTGGCGTGCGAGTGGTTAGCCACCCCCCTGATTGACGTGCGAGTGGTTTGCCAACCCCCAATAGTGGCGTGCGAGTGGTTTGCCACCCCTCGAGAGTGGTGTGCGAGTGGTTTGCCACCTCCCCGAGTGGCGTGCAAGTGGTTTCCCACGACCTGAGAGTGATGTGTGAGTGGTTTGCCACCACCCGAAGTGGCGTGCGAGTGGTTTGCCACCCCCCGAGAGTGGTGTGGGAGTGGTTTGCCATCACCCGAGACTGGCGTGCGAATGGTTTGCCATCCACTAGAGTGGCGTGCGAGTGGTTTGCCACCCTCTTGAGTGGCGTGCAAGTGGTTTGCGACCACCCCGAGTGGCGTGCGAGTGGTTTGCCACCCTCCAGAGTGGCGAGCAAATGGTTTGCCACCCACCGAGAATGGCGTGCTAGTGGTTAGCCACCCCCCAGAGTGGCGTGCAATTGGATATCCACCCAACAGAGTAGCGTGCGAGTGATTTGCCACACCCCGAGAGTGGCGAGCGAGTGGTTTGCCACCCCCCGTGAGTGGCGTGCGAGTGGTTTGCCACTTCCCCGAATGGCGTGCAAGTGGTTTCCCACGACCTGAGAGTGGCGTGTGAGTGGTTTGCCACCACCCGAAGTGGCGTGCGAGTGGTTTGCTACCCCCCGAGATTGGTGTGGGAGTGGTTTGCCACCAACCGAGACTGGCGTGCGAATGGTTTGCCATCCACTAAAGTCGCGTGCGAGTGGTTTGCCACCCCCTTGAGTGGCGTGCGAGTGGTTTGCCAACACCCCGAGTGGCGTGCGAGTGGTTTGCCACCCTCCAGAGTGGCGTGCGAGTGGTTTGCCACTCCCCAGAGTGGCGTGCTACTGATTTACCACCCCTTGAGAGTGGTTTAGGAGTGGTTTGCCACCACCCGAGAGTGGCATGCGAATGGTTTGCCACCTCATAAAGTGGTGTGCGAGTGGTTTGCCACCCCCCGAGAGTGGCGTGCGAGTGGTTAGCCATCCCCCGAGAGTTGCGTGCAAGTGATTTCGCACCCCCCGAGAGTGGCGTGGCAGTGGTTTGCCACCCCCCTGAGTGGCATGCGAGTGGTTTGCCACCCCCCGAGAGTGGCGTGCGATTCGTTGGCCACCCTCGAAGAGTGGGGTGCGAGTGGTATGTCATCCCCTTGAGTGGCGTGCGAAAGGTTTACCATCCCCCCGCGTGGCGTGCGAGTGGTTTGCCACCCCCTGAGAGTGGCGTGCGAGTGGTTAGCCACCCCCCTGATTGACGTGCGAGTGGTTTGCCACCCCCCAATAGTGGCGTGCGAGTGGTTTGCCACCCCTCGAGAGTGGTGTGCGAGTGGTTTGCCACCTCCCCGAGTGGCGTGCAAGTGGTTTCCCACGACCTGAGAGTGATGTGTGAGTGGTTTGCCACCACCCGAAGTGGCGTGCGAGTGGTTTGCCACCCCCCGAGAGTGGTGTGGGAGTGGTTTGCCATCACCCGAGATTGGCGTGCGAATGGTTTGCCATCCACTAGAGTGGCGTGCGAGTGGTTTGCCACCCTCTTGAGTGGCGTGCAAGTGGTTTGCGACCACCCCGAGTGGCGTGCGAGTGGTTTGCCACCCTCCAGAGTGGCGAGCAAATGGTTTGCCACCCACCGAGAATGGCGTGCTAGTGGTTAGCCACCCCCCAGAGTGGCGTGCAATTGGATATCCACCCAACAGAGTAGCGTGCGAGTGATTTGCCACACCCCGAGAGTGGCGAGCGAGTGGTTTGCCACCCCCCGTGAGTGGCGTGCGAGTGGTTTGCCACTTCCCCGAATGGCGTGCAAGTGGTTTCCCACGACCTGAGAGTGGCGTGTGAGTGGTTTGCCACCACCCAAAGTGGCGTGCGAGTGGTTTGCTACCCCCCGAGATTGGTGTGGGAGTGGTTTGCCACCAACCGAGACTGGCGTGCGAATGGTTTGCCATCCACTAAAGTCGCGTGCGAGTGGTTTGCCACCCCCTTGAGTGGCGTGCGAGTGGTTTGCCAACACCCCGAGTGGCGTGCGAGTGGTTTGCCACCCTCCAGAGTGGCGTGCGAGTGGTTTGCCACTCCCCAGAGTGGCGTGCTACTGATTTACCACCCCTTGAGAGTGGTTTAGGAGTGGTTTGCCACCACCCGAGAGTGGCATGCGAATGGTTTGCCACCTCATAAAGTGGTGTGCGAGTGGTTTGCCACCCCCCGAGAGTGGCGTGCGAGTGGTTAGCCATCCCCCGAGAGTTGCGTGCAAGTGATTTCGCACCCCCCGAGAGTGGCGTGGCAGTGGTTTGCCACCCCCCTGAGTGGCATGCGAGTGGTTTGCCACCCCCCGAGAGTGGCGTGCGATTCGTTAGCCACCCTCGAAGAGTGGGGTGCGAGTGGTATGTCATCCCCTTGAGTGGCGTGCGAAAGGTTTACCATCCCCCCGCGTGGCGTGCGAGTGGTTTGCCACCCCCTGAGAGTGGCGTGCGAGTGGTTAGCCACCCCCCTGATTGACGTGCGAGTGGTTTGCCACCCCCCAATAGTGGCGTGCGAGTGGTTTGCCACCACTCGAGAGTGGCGTGCGAGTGGTTTGCCACCTCCCCGAGTGGCGTGCAAGTGGTTCCCCACGACCTGAGAGTGATGTGTGAGTGGTTTGCCACCACCCGTAGTGGCGTGCGAGTGGTTTGCCACCCTCCTGAGTGGCGTGCAAGTGGTTTGCGACCACCCCGAGTGGCGAGCGAATGGTTTGCCACCCACCGAGAATGGCGTGCTAGTGGTTAGCCACCCCCCAGAGTGGCGTGCAATTGGATATCCACCCAACAGAGTAGCGTGCGAGTTATTTGCCACCCCCCGAGAGTGGCGAGCAAGTGGTTTGCCACCCCCCGAGAGTGGCGTGCGAGTGGTTTGCCACCCTCTGAGAGTGGCATGCGAGTGGTTTGCCACCTCCCAAAGTGGCGTGCGAGTGGTTTGCCACCCCCGTGAGTGGCGTGCGAGTGGTTTGCCACCCCCCAGAGTGGTGTGCGAGTGGTTTGCCAGCCCCCGAGAGTTGCATGCAAGTGGTTTGCCACCCCCCAGAGTACCGTGCGAGAGGTTTGCCACCCCCGTGAGTGGCGTGCGAGTGGTTTGCCACCCCCCAGAGTGGTGTGCGAGTGGTTTGCCAGCCCCCGAGAGTTGCATGCAAGTGGTTTGCCACCCCCCAGAGTACCGTGCGAGAGGTTTGCCACCCCCTGAGAGTGGCGTGCGAGTGGCTTGCCACCCCCCGAGAGTGGCATGCGATTGGTTTGCCACCCCCCGAGAGTGCCGTTGGAGTGGTTTGCCACCTCCCCGACTGGCGTTCGAGTGGTTTGCCACCCTTGGGAGTGGCATGCGAGAGGTTTGCCACCCCCCAAAGTGGCGTGCGAGTGGTTTGCCACCCCCCGAGAGTTGCATGCAAGTGGTTTACCACCCCCCGAGAATGGTGTGCGAGTGGTTTGCCACCACACGAGAGTGGCGTGTGAATGGTTTGCCACCTGCTAGAGTGGCTTTTGAGTGGTTTGCCACCCCCTGAGAGAGGTGAGGGAGTGGTTAGCCACCCCCCATAGTGGCGTGCGAGTGGTTTGCCATCCCCTTGAGTGACGTGCGAGTGGTTTGCCACCCCCCGATAGTTGTGTGGGAGTGGTTTGCCACCCCCCGATAGTGGTGTGGGAGTGGTTTGCCACCATTCGAGACTAGCGTGCGAATGGTTTGCCATCACCCTGAGTAGCGTGCGAGTGGTTTGCCACCCCCCAGAGTGGCGTGCGAGTGGTTTGCCGCCCCTCAGAGTGGCGTGCAACTGGTTTGCCACCCCCCAGAGTTGGGTGCGAATGGTTTGCCAGCCCCCGTGAGTTGCCTACGCGTGGGTTGCCACATCCCCGAGTGTCGTGCGAGTTCTTTGCCACGCCCTGAGAGTGGCGTGCGAGTGGTTTGCCACCCCTCGAAGTGGCGTGCGAGTGGTTTGCCACCCTCCGAGAAAGGCATGCAACTGGTTAGCCACCCCTCAGAGTGGCCTGCAAGTGGTTTGCCACCCCCTGAGAGTGGCGTGCGAGTGGTTTGCCACTCCCCGAGAGTGGCATCCAAGTGCTTTGCCACCCCCCAAGAGTGGCGTGCGAGTGGTTTGCCACCCCCTAGAGTGGCGTGCTAGTGGTTAGCCAATACCCAGAGTGGCGTACTAGTGGTTTGCCACCACGCAGAGAAGCATGCGAGTGGTTTGCCACCCCCCGAGAGTGGCTTGCGAGTGGTTTGCCACCCCCCAAGAGTGGCGTGCGAGTGGTTTGCTACCCCCCGAGAGTGGCGTGTTAGTGGTTGGCGACCCCTTGAGAGTGGCATGCGAGTGGTTTGACACCCCCTCGCGAGTGGAGTGGTTTGCCACCCCCCTTAGTGGCGTGCGAATGGATTGCCACCCGCCGAGAGTGGCGTGCGAGTGGTTTGCCACTCCCCAGACCGTGCGCGAGTTGTTTGCCACCCCTCCCAAGTGACATGCCGGTGGTTTACCACCCTCTAGAGTGGCGTGCGAGTGGTTGGCCTCTCAAGATAGTAGAGCGAGTGGTTTGCCACCCCCAAGAGTGGCGGCGAGTGGTTTGCCGCCCCTCGGAGTAGCGTGTAACTTGTTTGCCACCCCCCAGAGTTGCATGCGAATGGTTTGCCACCCTCCGTGAGTTGCGCGCAAGTGGTTTGCCACATCCCTGAGTGGCGTGCGAGTTGTTTGCCACCCCGTGAGAGTGGCGTACGGGTGGTTTGCCACCCCCAGAAGTGGCGTGTGACTAGTTTGCCATCCTCTGAGAATGGCGTGCGAGTGGTTACCCACCCCTCAAAGTGGCCTGCGAGTGGTTTGCCACCCCTCGAGAGTGGCGTGCGAGTCATTTGCCACCACCCGAGATTGGCGTGCAAATGGTTTGCCACCCCCTAGAGTGGCGTGCGAGTGGTTTGCCACCCCCCGAGAGTGGCGTTCGAGTGGTTTGCCACCCCCTGATAGTGTCGTGCGAGTGGTTTGCCACCCCTCCAGAGAGTCGTGCGAGTGGTGCGCCACCCCCTGAGAGTGGCGTGCGAGTGGCTTGCCACCCCCCGAGAGTGGCGTGCGAGTGGTTTGCCACCCCCGGAGAATGGCGTTCGAGTGGTTTGCCACCCCCCGAGAATGGCGTGCGAGTGGTTTGCCACCCTCTCAGAGAGTCGTGCAAGTGGTTAGCCACCCCCCGAGAGTGTCGTGCGAGTGGTTTGTCACCCCCCCAAGTGGCGTGCGAGTGGTTTGCCACGGCGCACCACGCACGGCCCACCGCGCACCGCGCACGGCGCACCGCCCACCGCCCACCGCCCTCCGCCCTCCGCCCTCCGCCCCCCGCCTCCCGCCCGCCGCCCCCCGCCCGCCACCCGCCGCCCACCGTCCACCGCCCATAATCTTGGTCAATTCCCGACCAACCCTCCCTTTCCTCACATCCCAATGTAAACCCTTGTGCTTTCCCTCTAACCATTTTTTTAAAAGTTCACCTTTTCTCACGCCCACCGCCCGCCCACCGCCCATTGTGCAGAAAGCGAGATTCCATGTCTGACAGTGGCGTGGCAACGACCAATAAAACCCGTGGAAACCCTGGGACGGGCCCACCGAAGCGGTTGTTGCAAGCTCTTCTGACTTGGCCAGGGTAACTGGCTGGGCTTCGTTTGGCTAGGGTTCATGTCGAAGGCTTGGTTGGTTTCCTCTGGTTTGGTCTGGACTCCGGTTTCGCAGAGAACCTCTGCCCAGCCACATCCCCAAGGTAGAATGTTGGACCAGTTTACGCAACTTGTAATTTCCGGATGGAGTGTGAAATACATGGCAAAATCGATCCGGCATGGTCTAAAATACGTACGATAAGTTCAAACGGATGGCTCAAGAGCGAGAACATGTTAATTTTCAAGAACGCGATTGCTCAGAACAACGTACAACAGCACTTGATCGAGCAGGGGAAACAGATACTGTAACTGGATATTTGAAAAAAGAATTGCAGATTCCAATACAAGGTGACTGTGGGCAGCGGAGTCGTCTGATTGGCTGCTAATATTTCGTGGATACTTCTCGCACACTTCACAAGTGGTGGACCGAACTTCCACCGAAGTCGGTGTACAGTAATGTAGTGGAGACTGGTCGCATTCTAGTGCTTGAGGAGGGGCCTGTTGATTACGAAGTCCTGTCCCAGTGTATATTTCCTGTACAGTATAGCCCTGGGAGCAAGTGTCTGGAAATGTTGTCAGTTGAGATCAAAGCTCTCGCTAAGGCCTGGGGAACCCGTTAGGTCACAGAATCGGCCCCAAAATTACCCGGAGTGGACGGAATCGCCGAAACATTACCCGTTAAACTACGGATTTGTCGAAGAGCTACTCTTGGTTTGATACTAACATCCTCAAAGCCAAATGGCCTTCGCCAGAGCTAAGGAAATGCTTTCGAACTTCAGGGACTGTTTCTCGCAGATCCTTTGCCTCGGGCGGTTGGAAGTGTATAAAACTTCCCGCTAATTAACCTCTCTCTCTGCCTAGTGGAAGTAGGGGGGGGGTGGGAGGGGGTTACACACCACCACGAACTGATCTTACACGGAATGAAATAAAAGTGGCCCGTAATGTCAAGGAATCACACGACAATTAATCCTTTAGGCTTACGGAATCAAGAAAACTTTGCTACGCCGAAATAACGGAATCAGCTGGAAAACAATTCTTAAGTTTGTGACACTAAAGGTAATTACCATGTTAGCCAGAGCCCTGGTTGAGATCCCATTTGCGATGTCCTGCATGGTCAACATGGGAGGCAGGCCAGCAGGGCCGACGTTTCAAGAGTAATTTTTCGAAATAAATAATAATCATTAAGAGTAACTTTTGGACTGATTTCGGAATTTTAACGGGTAATGTCCTCCGGGAATCCGGATTATTTACAAGTGCGTGAGGGCGGTTTTCCGGACGAAACAGAATTCTTTGGGGGGGGGAGGGGGCATTCCGCGCCGCTCTGTTACCAGGAATCCCCCCCCTCCCCTCCCCCCACACCCCCCTCCCCCCAACCCACCCCTTCCCGCGCCCTGAATTCGATGTCCTCTTGGGCTCAGATTTTTCGAAGTCCGTCACAGACACAGATATTCCTCCCCCTCCCACCCTGACGAGCGAAAATTGTTGAAGTCCATCACAGCCAGAGACATCACTCCCACATCCCTCGCAACACAGTAATTTTCGCACCAACAGTCAGAAACATTTTATCCACACTCTCCCTACCCATATTTTCAGGTGAAGTCCCTCACAAATACAGACATCCATTCCACACCCCTAGCTCCTTCACTGGCACACACAACCCTCGCTCACCCCCCGCATCCCTGCCTAGATATTGCCAACCAACGCGGCATTGGTTACAACAGGTTCAGCAGAATTCAACACTCGGTACGGCTAAACGTAAGCAGTTAGGTAGGGACATTTTTGCGTAAGTGTCAGGCTCTTTGACACAATATCAATGAAGGATGCTAGTGACCCGTGCGGATCATGGCTGTCGAGTACTCCTAAGTGAGCTGACACTTGGTATGAATTTTCAACTTTCCCTCGTGTGGAACTCAGCCAAACTAGCATTATACCCAAATCCGGAATAAGCCGAAATCAAAATCCCCCGAATCCGGACGAAAGAGAGTGTGGAGAGGGGGAGTTTCCGGGAGAAACAGAGTACAGTTGAAAAACCTTGGCGTCGGCCCTGCAGCCCAACCCGAGTGGCCAAGGAGGGAGGGGAAGCAAACAAGCCTCTTCCCTCCCTCGAGAACATTGCGTCCCTCGCTGACAAAACTGCTCGCCTGCTTCGAATCGAATGGTTTCATGCCTACGGTTCTTCTGCGTCAGAACTTCGTGAATTTCATCCTGACTCCTCCCATCTCTCGGCCATTTCGCTTCGCATCTTCCAAACCTGCTTCACCTCCCAGTCATTTTTCTCAGCCCCCTCCCTCACCTCAGTTCTGTGACTGGTCTTTCAGCATCCTCGACAACAGAAGCCACCAGCTTTTTACAACCAGAAAATCGAAGCAAGATCTTACTGCAGCGAAAGCCTGTTGGAGGTTGCTGGTCTAGAATCCGTACATTACCCGAGGCTCGTCGATGTTGCGTTCTTCTTGTTTGCTTGGTAGCATATGTAACTCTAGAGTAGCTCCGTACGACAACGCTGCTCGTTGTAATAATTCTAGAAGTTCTGTGGGGAGTCACAACGGGGACATGGTGACAGCTGTCGCGCCCCTCAATTTCGCCGTTCCTGCTTACGAAAAGGCTTACGTGAATCAGTCGTTGAGACCGCGTTAGGCCAGGATGTGAACTGTGTACAGTCTGTGTGAGCGCTTACTCCGGATTCTCTAACTTGTTGCTCGTCCTCAACGAAGTATCCTCGTTCGTAGGTTTAGAAGTATCTAATAGACAATACTCCTAAAGAATGACCTGGCCCTGAAGTCGTGGAAATTTTAAAATCAAATAAGTTCCCGTTCAGTGAGGGTCGGTGATGGGCCTGGCGTCGGTGGTTAGGATAATGGACGCTGCTGGGTCGGCCATGCTGGCCACTCACCACCACGGAATGCCCGACTCAGAAATTCTCCCCGAGGGCGCTGTTGCGGAGACGATACGCCTCGAAAACTCCGCGCACCCTGCGCACTTACGCGCGCACTCCGCGCAATCCGAGCACCCCGAGCTCGCCTCCGGGGATTCCGCGCATGTCAGCGGTAGCTGCGCGGGCGGAGACTCGCGGAATGCGGAGGGTGCGGGGCGGCGGGAGGAAGCGCAAGTGTTGGACCCCGCGGAGAAGCGGTTGCTGGAGCTGGGGTACCGACAAGAGCTCAAGCGCAGCCTGGTGAGGCGGGGACCCGGGAGGTCGCGGGATGCGGGATGATTTGTGAGGAATGAAACGAGAGGCGTAAGGGAGATGTGTGCACTTGCCAAGCCACTGACCCCGTAGCCGAGCTAGCGAGCTACTGACCTCATGGCCGAGATACTGACCCCATGCCCGAGCGACTGACCCCATGGCGGAGCGACTGACCCCATGATCGAGCGAGTGAGCCCATGGTCGAGCGAGTGACCACGTGGCCGAGCGACTGACCGTAAATGACAGCTTCGCCACCCGCTACCCCACACCCTTTCTCCCTCATCTGCAGGGCTGGCTGGAGATCTTTTGGCGTGTCAGCGGCGGTCTTGAACCCCCACATGACGGCCGTGCCTTTCCTCCTTGCACCCCTTCCCCTGAGACCCTGCATGAGCCGCGCCCCAGCACGACAACCCCTACTATCCCACTCGCCCATCTCACCTGGCAGGGCTGGCTGGAGACAATTCGGCGTGTCAGCGACTTTCTTGAACCCCCACATGACGGCCGTACCTTTCCTCCCTCCATCCCGTCCCCTAAAACCGCACATGGCTGCCTTGCCCCACCCCACCCACATCCCTCTCTCCTTCGCGCCACGGCTGGCTGGAGCTGTTCGGCGTGTCAGCAGCAGTCATGAACCCCTGCATGACAGCTTCCCTCCCCCCCCCCCCCCTCCCCTCCCTCTTCGCCCATCCACCCACCTCTCCTCCCACCGTCAACCCCTCACCCGCTGCTCTCGTCCCCCTCTCTCTCTCCCGCCTGCCAGGGCTGGCTGGAGATATTCGGCGGTGATGAACCCCTACCATGCCGGCCATGCCCTTCTACAGCCGTGCCCTCCTACAGCCGTTGCTTCTCTCCCTGTCCCTGCACCCCTTCCCCTCCACCAACGCCACTCCCGCCTGCCAGGGCTGGGTGGAGATATTCGGCGTGTCAGCGGCAGTCATGAACCCCTACATGACGGCCATGCCGTTCTTCGGGTGGGCGCTGCTGCAGGCGGGCCCCGTGGGCGTCGTGTGGCCGTGGGTGGTGCTCGCGCCCTTCGCCCTCTGCATGGTGCTCGTCATCGCTGAAGTCTGCTCCTCCTTCCCCGTGAGTGCGCCCCTTCTGCTCCTCCTTCCCCGTGAGTGCGCCCCTTCAGCTCCTCCTTCCCCGTGAGTGCGCCCCTTCTGCTCCTCCTTCCCCGTGAGTGCGCCCCTTCTGCTCCTCCTTCCCCGTGAGTGCGCCCCTTCAGCTCCTCCTTCCCCGTGAGTGCGCCCCTTCAGCTCCTCCTTCCCCGTGAGTGCGCCCCTTCTGCTCCTCCTTCCCCGTGAGTGCGCCCCTTCTGCTCCTCCTTCCCCGTGAGTGCGCCCCTTCAGCTCCTCCTTCCCCGTGAGTGCGCCCCTCTGCTCGCGAGCTCCTTCTCGATGTATCTCGCCTAGCCTCCACCCATGCACGTCAACTCTACACTGCACCCGCCCTCCAACCCATCCCTCGCTCGCCCCTCTTAGCTATTTCCCTTGTGGCCCTTCGCCCTGCTCCCCCCTCCCCCATCCATCGTGCCTCGTAAATAGATTTTAGGCGCCTCAACACCATCCCTACCTTGCGCCTCAAACCCATCCATCCCTCGCGCCCCTCACCTGCAGATGTCAGGGTCGCTCTACTTCTGGGCGGCCAGCCTGTCCCCGCGGCGGTGGAAGCCGTTTGTGGCGTGGGTGACGGTGTGGCTGGAGGTGATTGCGCTCTCCGTGTGCGCCAGCAGCATCGCCTTCCCAGGTGTGCGCCAGCAGCATCGCCTTCCCAGGTGTGCGCCAGCAGCATCGCCTTCCCAGGTGTGTGCTTGCAGCATCGCCTTCCCAGTTGTGTGCAAGCAGCATCACCTTCCCATGTGTGTGCAAGCAGCATCACCTTCCCAGGTGTGTGCAAGCAGCATCGCATTCCCAGGTGTGTGCAAGCAGCATCGCATTCCCAGGTGTGTGCAAGCAGCATCGCCTTCCCATGTGTGTGCAAGCAGCATCTCCTTCCCAGGTGTGTGCAAGCAGCATCGCCTTCCCAGGTGTGTGCAAGCAGCATCGCCTTCCCAGGCGTGTGCAAGCAGCATCGCCTTCCCAGGTGTGTGCAAGCAGCATCGCCTTCCCAGGTGTGTGCAAGCAGCATCGCCTTCCCAGGTGTGTGCAAGCAGCATCGCCTTCCTAGGTGTGTGCCAGCAGTGCCTCCTTCCCTGTTGTGAGAGGGCGTATTAGAGCATATCATGTGCCAGCACACTACATGTTGCTTTCCAGGTGAACAGACGTGCCTAGCTGTTTCAACTGGTGTGTACTAGATGACATGCGCAAAGGAACTCCCCCCCTCTGTAGAATCCATCTAGAACCGTTGTTACTCTCCCGCCCCTTCCCTCCCCTCCCTCTGAGCAGCCGCGCAGCTGGTGCAGACGGTGGTGCACCACATGACGGGCACGGAGGAGCTGTCCTCCTCTGTAACTTCTTTCTAGAACCTTCTGGTTTTTATCTCCGTCCCACGCCCTCCGCTCCACATCGAGCAGCGGCACAGCTGGTGCAGACGGTGGTGCACCACATGACGGGCACGGAGGGGCTGTCCTCCTCAACTCACCCGGCCTCCACTACCCTCCCCTGCACGCTCCGTTTCCCTCCTCCCCTCCCCCCCCCCCCGCCCTCTGAGCAGCGGCGCAGGTGGTGCAGACGGTGGTGCACCACATGACAGGCACGGAGGCACTCCCCTCCTCTGTAAATTCTTTCTAGAACCTTCTGGTTTTGATCTCCGTCCCACGCCCTCCCCTCTGTACTGTGCAGCGGCGCAGCTGGTGCAGATGGTGATGCACCACATGACGGGCACGGAGGGGCTGCTGACATCCTCCGCCTTCTTCTTCGCCCTCTACACCGCGCTGCTGCTGTCGTGGGGGCTGCTCAACTCGCTCTCCCTCACCTGGGTCTCGCGTCTGCTCGACGGCTGTGTCTACTTCATCGTGCTCTACACCGTGATCCTGGTGAGCAGCCCCGTCCCAGCACTCTCAGCTCTCTGTATTGCCCTTCCAGGTGGCGCTCCTTCCACCAGTCGCGCTGGGACCTTTGACCTTCTCGTTGCCAACTCCCATTCCTCCCATGCCAAACCCCCTCCCTCCCACCAGGTGACAGCACTCCCAGCAGTGGGCACAAGGCGCGTCCTTCATCTGCCTGCACTACCAATCCGGCCGCGGCCCTGCTATTAATTCTCTCCCATCCTCCCTCCCTGTCATCCCTCCCACCAGGTAATTGTGCTCCCAGCAGTGGCAGTAGAGCGTCCGCTTGCCTCTGTTCTCTTCTTCCAGCACCAGTTGGTCTTCTCCCAGCCTCACCTGACGCCTTGTGGTCCCTGCCTTTGATTTATCTCCCAGCCTCACCTGACGCCTTGTGGTCCCTGCCTTTGATTTATCTCCCAGCCTCGCCCCCTATAGTTTCCCCCGCCAGGTAATTGTGCTCCCGGCAGTGGCGGTGGAGCATAAGCCCGCGTCCTTAACCTTCCTGCATCACAGGCATGGACGCCATGCCTGTGATGGGCATGGTTCCCAGCAGTACCAATCGAACCATGCCATCACAGGTTGACTCCTCGTGGTCCCAACCTACACTCTCCTCCCATTTTCCCCCTCTCCCCCCCTCTAGCCCGCGTCCTTCATCTTCCTGCAGTTGTGGTCCACGGCATGTCATGGTCCCTGTGTATAGTCTCCTCCCAACCTCCCTTCTCTACCCCACCAGGTGATCGTGCTCCCAGCGGTGGCGGTGGAGCACAAGCCCGCGTCCTTCATCTTCCTGGAGTACCAGTCGGGCTGTGACATCACGGGCGTGTGCGGCGTGCTCCCCACGCTCATCCTCGCAGGCCTGCTGCCGCAGTTCTCCTTCTTCGGATTTGATTCTGCCGCCCACGTCACAGAGGAGACGCTCAACTCGGACGTGTCGGGGCCACGGGCCATCCTGGGGTCGTTCGTGGTGCAGCTGCTGTTCGGCTTCGCGCTGCTCGTCACCTTCACCGCCTGCATCCAGGTAATGCATGCACGGCTGGGTGCAATGCATGCACGGCTCGGTGCAATGCATGCATGGCTGGGTGCAATGCATGCACGGCTCGGTGCAATGCATGCACGGCTCGGTGCAATGCATGCACGGCTCGGTGCAATGCATGCACGGCTCGGTGCAATTCATGCACGGCTCGGTGCAATGCATGCACGGCTCGGTGCAATGCATGCACGGCTCGGTGCAGTGCATGCACGGCTCGGTGCAGTGCATGCACGGCTCGGTGCAATGCATGCACGGCTCGGTGCACTCCATGCACGGCTCGGTGCAATGCATGCACAGCTCGGTGCAGTGCATGCACGGCTCGGTGCAATGCATGCACGGCTCGGTGCAATGCATGCACGGCTCGGTGCAATGCATGCACGGCTCGGTGCAATGTATGCACGGCTCGGTGCAATGCATGCACGGCTCGGTGCACTGCATGCACGGCTCGGTGCAGATGCACGGCTCGGTGCAATGCCTGCACGGCTCGGTGCACTGCATGCACGGCTCGGTGCAATGCATGCACGGCTCGGTGCAATGCATGCACGGCTCGGTGCAATGCATGCACGGCTGGGTGCAATGCATGCACGGCTTGGTGCAATGCATGCACGGCTCGGTGCAGTGCGTGCACGGCTCGGTGCAATGCATGCACGGGTCGGTGCAATGCATGCACGGCTCGGTGCAATGCATGCACGGCTCGGTGCACTGCATGCACGGCTCGGTGCAGATGCACGGCTCGGTGCAATGCCTGCACGGCTCGGTGCACTGCATGCACGGCTCGGTGCAATGCATGCACGGCTCCGTGCAATGCATGCACCGCTCGGTGCAGTGCATGCACGGCTCCGTGCAATGCATGCACGGCTCAGTGCAATGCATGCACGGCTCGGTGCAGTGCATGCACGGCTCGGTACAATGCATGCACGGCTCGGTGCAATGCATGCACGGCTCGGTGCAATGCATGCACGGCTCGGTGCAGTGCATGCTCGGCTCGGTGCAATGCATGCACGGCTCGGTGCAATGCATGCACGGCTCGGTGCACTGCATGCACGGCTCGGTGCAGATGCACGGCTCGGTGCAATGCCTGCACGGCTCGGTGCACTGCATGCACGGCTCGGTGCAATGCATGCACGGCTCGGTGCAGTGCATGCACGGCTCGGTGCAATGCATGCACCGCTCAGTGCAATGCATGCACGGCTCGGTGCAATGCATGCACGGCTCGGTGCAGTGCATGCTCGGCTCGGTGCAATGCATGCACGGCTCGGTGCAATGCATGCACGGCTCAGTGCAATGCATGCACGGCTCGGTGCACTGCATGCACGGCTCGGTGCAATGCATGCACGGCTCGGTGCACTGCATGCACGGCTCGGTGCAATGCATGCACGGCTGGGTGCAATGCATGCACGGCTTGGTGCAATGCATGCACGGCTCGGTGCAGTGCGTGCACGGCTCGGTGCAATGCATGCACGGGTCGGTGCAATGCATGCGCGGCTCGGTGCAATGCATGCACGGCTCCATGCAATGCATGCACCGCTCGGTGCAGTGCATGCACGGCTCCGTGCAATGCATGCACGGCTCGGTGCAATGCATGCACGGCTCGGTGCAGTGCATGCACGGCTCGGTGCAGTGCATGCACGGCTCGGTGCAATGCATGCACGGCTCGGTGCACTCCATGCACGGCTCGGTGCAATGCATGCACAGCTCGGTGCAGTGCATGCACGGCTCGGTGCAATGCATGCACGGCTCGGTGCAATGCATGCACGGCTCGGTGCAATGCATGCACGGCTCGGTGCAATGCATGCACGGCTTGGTGTAATGCATGCACGGCTCGGTGTAATGCATGCACGGCTCGGTGCAATGCATGCAAGGCTCGGTGCAATGCATGCACGGCTCGGTGCAATGCATGCACGGCTCGGTGCAGTGCATGCACGGCTCGGTGCAATGCATGCACGGCTCGGTGCAATGCATGCACGGCTCGGTGCAATGTATGCACGGCTCGGTGCAATGTATGCACGGCTCGGTGCAATGCATGCACGGCTCGGTGCAATGCATGCACGGCTCGGTGCAATGCATGCACGGCTCGGTGCAGTGCATGCTCGGCTCGGTGCAATGTATGCACGGCTCGGTGCAATGCATGCACGGCTCGGTGCACTGCATGCACGGCTCGGTGCAGATGCACGGCTCGGTGCAATGCCTGCACGGCTCGGTGCAATGCATGCACGGCTCGGTGCAATGCATGCACGGGTCGGTGCAATGCATGCACGGGTCGGTGCAATGCATGCACGGCTCGGTGCAATGCATGCACGGCTCGGTGCAATGCATGCACGGCTCGGTGCAGTGCATGCACGGCTCGGTGCAGTGCATGCACGGCTCGGTGCAATGCATGCACGGCTCGGTGCACTCCATGCACGGCTCGGTGCAATGCATGCACAGCTCGGTGCAGTGCATGCACGGCTCGGTGCAATGCATGCACGGCTCGGTGCAATGCATGCACGGCTCGGTGCAATGCATGCACGGCTCGGTGCAATGCATGCACGGCTCGGTGTAATGCATGCACGGCTCGGTGTAATGCATGCACGGCTCGGTGCAATGCATGCAAGGCTCGGTGCAATGCATGCACGGCTCGGTGCAATGCATGCACGGCTCGGTGCAGTGCATGCACGGCTCGGTGCAATGCATGCACGGCTCGGTGCAATGCATGCACGGCTCGGTGCAATGTATGCACGGCTCGGTGCAATGTATGCACGGCTCGGTGCAATGCATGCACGGCTCGGTGCAATGCATGCACGGCTCGGTGCAATGCATGCACGGCTCGGTGCAGTGCATGCTCGGCTCGGTGCAATGTATGCACGGCTCGGTGCAATGCATGCACGGCTCGGTGCACTGCATGCACGGCTCGGTGCAGATGCACGGCTCGGTGCAATGCCTGCACGGCTCGGTGCACTGCATGCACGGCTCGGTGCAATGCATGCACGGCTCGGTGCAATGCATGCACGGCTCGGTGCAGTGCGTGCACGGCTCGGTGCAATGCATGCACGGGTCGGTGCAATGCATGCACGGCTCGGTGCAATGCATGCACGGCTCCGTGCAATGCATGCACCGCTCGGTGCAGTGCATGCACGGCTCCGTGCAATGCATGCACGGCTCAGTGCAATGCATGCACGGCTCGGTGCAGTGCATGCTCGGCTCGGTGCAATGCATGCACGGCTCGGTGCAATGCATGCACGGCTCGGTGCACTGCATGCACGGCTCGGTGCAGATGCACGGCTCGGTGCAATGCCTGCACGGCTCGGTGCACTGCATGCACGGCTCGGTGCAATGCATGCACGGCTCGGTGCAATGCATGCACGGCTCGGTGCAATGCATGCACGGCTGGGTGCAATGCATGCACGGCTTGGTGCAATGCATGCACGGCTCGGTGCAGTGCGTGCACGGCTCGGTGCAATGCATGCACGGGTCGGTGCAATGCATGCGCGGCTCGGTGCAATGCATGCACGGCTCCGTGCAATGCATGCACGGCTCGGTGCAATGCATGCATGGCTCGGTGCAGTGCATGCACGGCTCGGTGCAGTGCATGCACGGCTCGGTGCAATGCATGCACGGCTCGGTGCACTGCATGCACGGCTCGGTGCAATGCATGCACAGCTCGGTGCAGTGCATGCACGGCTCGGTGCAATGCATGCACGGCTCGGTGCAATGCATGCACGGCTCGGTGCAATGCATGCACGGCTCGGTGCAATGCATGCACGGCTCGGTGTAATGCATGCACGGCTCGGTGTAATGCATGCACGGCTCGGTGCAATGCATGCAAGGCTCGGTGCAATGCATGCACGGCTCGGTGCAGTGCATGCACGGCTCGGTGCAGTGCATGCACGGCTCGGTGCAATGCATGCACGGCTCGGTGCAATGCATGCACGGCTCGGTGCAATGTATGCACGGCTCGGTGCAATGTATGCACGGCTCGGTGCAATGCATGCACGGCTCGGTGTAATGCATGCACGGCTTGGTGTAATGCATGCACGGCTCGGTGCAATCCATGCACGGCTCGGTGCAATGCTTGCACGGCTCGGTGCAATGGATGCACGGCTCGGTGCAATGCATGCACGGCTCGGTGCAATGCATGCACGGCTCGGTGCAATGCATGCATGGCTCGGTGCAATGCATGCATGCGGCTACATTCAGACTGCACCCGATTCATGGATCTCGTCCGCCACTTCCATTTCCCCCCACATCCCCCTCCCCCAATCAACCCCCCCCCCTGTGCCATTTCCATCCTTTCCCTCCCCTCTTTCCCTCCCCTCTTTCCCTCCCCTCTTTCCCTCCCCTCTTGCTCTCTCCTCCCCTCTCTCCCTCTCCTTCACGGCCTTCACGGCCTGCACGGCCTGCACGGCCTGCACGGCCTGCACAGCCTGCATGGGCCGCATTAGATGTGGCCGTTAAGCCCAGCCGGCTTGGCTCGGTTCGGCTCGGCTCGCCAAAAAGGCGAGCCGAGCTTTTTACTTTTGCCCTCGGCTCGTCTCGAACCGAGCCAGCACGAGCCGGGTGAGCCGGCGGCTTGATTCGGCTAGACGTCAAGTATTGAGGCGGCTCAAAACTAGATGTCATGTAGTGTCCCGAGCCTAAAAACTAGATGTCATGTAGTGTCCCGAGCCGGATTCGAGCCGGCTTGAATCCGGCTAGAAATCGCGCCGCGAACGGAATGCACGACAATATACCTAACCACGGTACAGTGGGCCACGTAGGATCCGCATGGGGCACCCAACACTCATTTGGCAGCTCAGCAAGGCATAGCAAGCCTAAAGCACTTTTGCAACATGCAAAAGTACATTGTTACAGTAGAGCCGAATCGAGCCGGCTCGTTTTCTAGCTGACCCCCAGCTCGACCATGTAGGGGCGAGCCGAGCCGGGAAACCAGGGCTTCTGGCTCGACCAGGCCTGGGCCGGCTCGGCCCGTCTGAGCGCCGGATCGACCCGGCTCGACCCGGCTCGACCCGGCTTGGGCCAGGCTCGGGCCGGCTTGGCTTAATGCCCATGTCTAGACCCCATAGTGCACCTCCGTCTCTTTGCACACATTCTCAGCCTCCCATATCCTATCCCACCCCACCCCTCCCCCATTTCCGCCGCCCCCCTGTCCGTTTTTCCCAGGGCGACTACCACGACCTGTTTACAGCGGAGAGCATGTCCTTCATGGACCCCATCGTGCACCTCCTCATGTCCATCTTCGCCGGGCGCTTTGGCAGCGCCGTGGGCGCCTATGTGCTGCTCTTCCTCATGCTCCTCAACTTCTACGCCGCCGGCTTCGGCGTCACGCTCGCCTCATCGCGCGCCATCTACGCTGCCAGTCGTGACGGCGCCATGCCGTTTTCAAGGGTGTGGCGGACGTTGTCCCAGCGCAACCGGATCCCTGTTCGAGCCATCTGGCTCTCCACCTTCATTGCCGTTGCCATTGGTGTGCCCTGCTTCTTGTGAGTGCGCTGCTTCTTGTGAGTGCGCTGCTTCTTGTGAGTGCGCTGCTTCTTGTGAGCGCGCTGCTTCTTGTGAGTGCGCTGCTTCTTGTGAGTGCGCTGCTTCTTGTGAGTGCACTGCTTCTTGTGAGTGCGCTGCTTCTTGTGAGTGCTCTGCTGCAAACTCCTGGGTTTAGAGCGCAGGGTTCTTGGCTTAGGAGGTAGGTTTGTGTGGGTTCTTCTTCGTTCAGATCACCAGGTGGCATGCAGCGATTTGGTTTCTTGGGGTCACTTGCCAACCCTCGGCCCGGGACGCTCAGTCTCCCACATTCCCCTTCTGCTCTACCCCACCTAGGGGGTGCGTGCACTCCTTTCACCTTCCCTCCTTCCTCTACCCCTCCGCCCTTACTCCTCGCAGCTCGCCAACAACCTTCGGCACAGTGGCAGCGATGACGTCGGCAGCATGGCTGGGGACGTACGGCATCGTGGTCTTCTTCCGCCTCATCATCCCCTCGCACCACTTCAATCCGGGCCCCTTCTCCCTGGGCTGCTGCGCGCGCCCGCTGTGCGTGGTGGCGCTGGGGTACATCGTGTACACCATCGGGGTCTTCATGGTGCCGCTCCTCTACCCCATCACCTGGGAGACCTTCAACTACGCCCCCATTGGTGAGTCGCTCGCTCCACATGCAGTTTTGAGTCCACTCAGAAGTCATCGCGCTGTGTGTGGTGGCGCTGGGGTACATCGCGTACACCATCGGGGTCTTCATGGTGCCGCTCCTCTACCCCGTCACCTGGGAGACTTTCAACTACGCCCCCATTGGTGAGCTGCCTGCTTCTCCTGCAAGGTGTTGTTAGCATGTCGCCGTGCAAGCATCTGGAGTGTTACTCGTGCGGATCCAGTGTACAGTACTACGATACCTATATTTTCAATCTATTCCTTATTGTTTGTTCTGCTTGTGGCACTGCAGCATCATTTGTACTTCTGAGCTTTATCATACTATGGTGGGTGGTGGATGCACATAGGTGGTTTGTCGGCCCAGTTCCCTCAGCCAATACTGTGTCACATTCCACACCGTCGCACCAGCCTCAAGCGTTGCCTCATGGATCAGACCCTCACCACCACTTGCCTATCCCACCGCAAATTGTGAATTTGTGATTGCGGTCAATGTAAAATTCAGCTGTAAATGTAAATCTATATGCATTTTTTAGTAACCGCGACGCCCCTTGTGGGCTTTCCTCCCAAGACCCTCCTCACAGGCCTCCCCCGTGCCCCCCCTGCGGGCACTCCACTCTCTACCCCCGGCGGCTTTCCCTTTTTGCCCCGACAATTGTGCACCAATGCAAGCACTAGAACTAGCCACCTAACCGTCACAAAGAGTTGGGTTATGCACACACACAGATGACCGCGAACAAAACCCACGTGTAAATTTATCCGACGATCCACTAGCGAATCGCCCTCTGCTTTCTAGTTTATGACCCTCCTTAGTATGGTACTATTTTTTTCTTAAAGCAAGGGTCTAGAGAAGCAAAAATCCAAACCCAAAGGTTTTGGTTTCAGGGGATCTCGAAAATTGCGAGGTGTGGTGAGGGGTGCTAGTTGGGCGCTGTAAATGTTTTGCTAATTTCGTCAACCCAAAACCAAACCTTTTGGATTTGGTTTTTTGCTTCTCGAGACCCTCGCTTTAAGTGCATCTATCCAATCTATTGGGAACCATCTGAGACTGACATGCTCCAGAAAGTGGCGGGAAAGTTTGAACTCTCGTGGAATGCGCGCTGCGAAGCCTGCAGTTTCAGCGACAACTCTCACCAACGGAGTCCCCCAGGCTCAAAATTCCAGTCTTGAGAGTTGTCATTGTCAGCCTCACAATGACTGTTCTGTACCACTCTGATCCGTGGCAGCGAATCCGCCTGCTGAATTGTCTGGCCTGCTCTACCTGGTTGCTGCTCCTCCGTCTTTCATCAGGCTGTTCTATTCTCCACCTCCTGCTTAGATTCCTCAGTCTTCTTCGTCTGCTGCTGCTCGGCAACGCCACATCCATCGATGGCGGCTTGTCAGTAGGTTCAGCTTAGGATAAGCACCCTAGGTTGGGCTTAGTTCCTAACGAAGCGAATTAGAAGTCGGTTTTCGTTACTTGAAGTTTTGTGCTACGTCCGCTGACAGTCCTTCTCTCCTTCCCTTTCCCGCTCGACTCCATAACCTAAAAACATATCTCTGATCCTTGCTGCTTTCTTTAGGGGTAATCGATCCGTTATCTAGGCACCCATAGCCCACTATTCGCCAACATCCTTATGGCAATGGACCTGCCAGCTCAAGCTAGCGACATGCTCCTCCCGGAGATGAAAGAAAACGTCAATCCCATCCTGTTTTCGTCACCGGTGAGGAAGCTGGAAGTTCAAATGAAAACGGTTACAGACCTTATTTTTCAAATGAAAGTTCTTATAACCAACGAGAAACGTTTCCATCCGTGCAGGTGGTTAAAAGCTCCCCGCTACGAGGGGTTCTCAAGTCCCAGAGCTCCGTCGACAGAACGCATAATTTCTCTCCGAGCGGACGTCGGCTTTCCCGAGGTCGGCGCGTCAGCTTCGCAAAGAATGAATGCTCCGTTCGCACCATTTCCCCCAGAAACAACGACCAAGAGTACGTATCTCGATGCTTCATTCGCTATCCGTTGTTTATTATATTTTTTGCCCGTGAAATCCTCGCAGTTTAATATCACTATCGTTGTTCTGTCAGGAACGAAAAGCCCAAGGAGTCAATCATACCCATGTTGCCGGACGACGGCTTTTTCACGAATCTTTCGGCAAGCCCTACGACGTTCGGAGAGCAGATCGAGAACACGATGCGGTGGGAGGAGCACTCTATAACGCAAGGCGCACCGGGACTCATGTTCCTCACAGCAGAGGACGAGCAGCAGCAATTCCCTGCTCTGCCTGCAGCCGCACTGGCGGAACGCGCCGATCAACGTCAACCGGCAGACGGTCAGAAACCAGGCGGAAAGCGTCAGTTTTCAGCGGAAGCGGCGAGTCCGACCAGATGCTCCCCGCGGCTGAAGAAACGGCTCGAAATGCACGTCCAGGTGCCATCGTCGCCGAAATGCCTCTTCGTCATGTCGCCTCCAGCGTCGCCGACGACTTCCAAGGGCGCGCAGCCTGCGTCGCCAAGGCGATCGCCGAGGAACCATGCGAAAACTCGCGCGCTGGATGGTGCGACAGCGATCGCTGAGCCGCAGAGGCTGGGGACGGCGGCAGCAGCGTCGCCGGCAGCAGCCTCTCCCGAGCCTGAGGAACGGGCGAAACGGAGGGTGAAGAATCGAGCCAGGGGGCGGAGTAAATTCCAGGAGCTGCTTCAGGAGAATGATGGGAGTGCCAGTGCCGCTGAGGATGCGAAGCAGGGCGGCGATGGGAAGGCTTTCATGCAGGAACCTGTGGCAGGAGATAGTGGAGTGGTGGTTCAGGGGGGGGGGGTAGAGCAAGCCGCTCCTACCGGCAACGTCCCTGATGCCAGTGCGAGTGCGGGGAATGGGGTTTCACAGGCACCCGACCCCGCTAGTGCCAGCGAGCAGCAGAAGGAGAACCCGCTTGGTCCAGCACTGCCAGCCGTGACGCCTGACAGAGCTGCGGGCGAGCAGGCCGCTGCAGCGCCCAACGGAGAGACGCCAGAGGAGGATGTTATGCGTTCCGGCGTGCTCTCGTCGTTCCTCAGCCCGGGGCTCGACGACGTCAGCAGCATGGGGCTCGGATTCTCGCTCACTCCAGTCGACAAGACCCGGCCCACAGTGTCTGAAGCCGGACGCGCAGCAGCCACAGCAGCACTGGCGGAGGCTCAAGCAGCAGCTGTTGCAGCGAGCGATGCTATCGCTGCGGCGCCTGTGCTGCTCAACTCGTTTCTGAGCCCCGGTGTGTTGGGGAGCGATGACGCGGATCTCGATGGGCTGCTCGAGACGCCAGACGACGACGACTTTGGCTGTAATAGGAGCCAAGTAGGAGCTGCAGGCGGTCTTGGCCACGCGCTACTGGACTCGGAGAAGGCTGATGCCAACGCGGCAGCTTTTGCCGCTGGTAAGGGAGGCCCCAGGCAGAGCGTTGGTGAGGCAGTAGCAGTGGAGCCGTTTCCGCGCGTTCAGCTGGTTCCGCTTCATGCGGGCGCGGAGGAGTGCGCGCCGTTGTGTCTGGAAAGCGCGCTGAACGCCGCGCTGCCGCCACTAACGGCGGACGATCCGGCCGCCATGGCGCAGCTCGCCGACTCCGGCGCTTTTGGCTCCCCGCAGGACCGCATTGAGAAAGACGGGGATGGTGGGAGCAATGCTGGAGAGGGAGGAGGTGCAGGTGAGGGGTGTGACGGGTACGGGAACGAGAGAGCGCACGGACGGCGGGAGAGCACTGGCACGAGCCCGGAGGCGATCGTTGGAAGAGAGGAGGTCGGTGGAGAGAAGAAGGGTATGCTTGGAAGGGAGTTGATGGGGAGAGCTGAGATGGCGGTGGAGGGAGAGGCAGCGACGGAGTACTCCACGGTAGGCCGATTCCCGCAGCTGACTGCCGGCCCCTCCGTGGTGGCGACCGCGGGCATGGGTGGCTTGGGTGCTTTCGAGGCCGGGAGAGGCGCGGGGGAGATGGTGACTCCGCTGAAGCAGAGCGGGGGGGGCAAGGAGGGCGGAGATGGTGTGCGCGGGGCGGAGGAGTCGGGGGACGGTGACTCGCCTATCATGGGCGTGGTGTCCGCCAGCAAGGATGGCGCAGGGGGCAGCGCCAGGCGGGGCGGAGAGCGTGAGCGGGATGCGGAGGACGCAGAGGAGCGGAGTATGGGGCTTGTGACGTGGAGCGAGGGGGTGAGGCAGGCGTTTGCTGACATGGACATGGGCGAGGGGCTGGTGGGGGTGTTGGAGCTGGCGGAGGTGGCGGGGGAGGGTGGGGGAGCGCAGATGGCGGAAGGGGTGAGCGGGATAACGGACGGGCAGCTGCTGGATCCGAGGCGGATGGAGAAGGCGCAGCCCCACGGCATCGAGTGCCTTGAGGATTTCCTCTCTAAAGTTGGGGTGAGTTGAGTCCTTGCGGCAGCAGACGCAGTGATGCCTGGACCTCTGAATGCGTGCGCTACCTATCCACGCCCTGCTTAACCAACCCTCTGATGCACTTGCGCATGATCCTGCTCCGCCACATGCTCTCCCCCCTCCGCACTCCACAGGTGCTTCTGGAGAAGCGCAAGTCGGGGGTGATGGCGCAGTCCCCCTGGACCCCGCGCACGCCCAGGGAACGCATGGTGGGGCCCAGCGCAGCAGAGCGCCTGTACCAGCGCGTGTGCCTTCAGCCGCAGGTGAGTGGAACGAGAGGTAAGGGCGAGAATTGGAAAGTGCAGGGATCAAGCTGTGTGGAAAAGGTGGGAGGAGGAGAGGGAGGTTGGCTGAGGGCACCAGTGCAGACGAGTTTGTGTCACGGAATGCAGAAGTGAGGAATTTGCTTCACTAACCTTGTGCCCTGCTCTCTGCCTCTGACCCGTATCGCCTGTGCTCGGCACAATGCTACGTTCTCGCCTTGTGTGAATGGTTCCTATATAATGTGGCAGGTGGAGCAGGTAGAACGGGTGTGCGCAGAGCAGGTGGCGCGGCTGGCGTTGGAGCAGCAGCAGATCGACGGCTTGGAGGCCAACATGGCAGCCAACAGCACCGCGCTGCTGCAGCTCGTTGCAGTATGTATCGCACTCTCCTCCCCCCCTCCCTCCCACCTCCTCCGCCTCTGATGTGCCTCGCCCTATCTCCCTCACATGCACTGGCGCACTTACGCACATGTATACACACACATGCAACCTCCCTCTCCTGTGGTCCCTCCGTTTGTTCACTCTGCTCCTGCTTTGTCCTGCTTCGTGTTGCGTTGTGTTGCTTTGGTTGCTGTCCTTGTTGCAGCAAGGCACCCCCGACCAGCGGAAGGTGCTGCAGGAGCGGCTGGTTGCCCTCAAGAGCCTCTTCAGGTGAGAAGCAAAGAAAGGACGATCAAAGGGAGCAGTTGCTTGGGGCAGGGGGGCCGCTGGTCTTGTTGCTTGGGGCAGGGGGGCCGCTGGTCTTGTTGCTTGGGACAGGGGGGCCGCTGGTCTTGTTGCTTGGGACAGGGGGGCCGCTGGTCTTGTTGCTTGGGACAGGGGGGCCGCTGGTCTTGTTGCTTGGGACAGGGGGGCCGCTGGTCTTGTTGCTTGGGACAGGGGGGCCGCTGGTCTTGTTGCTTGGGGCAGGGGGGCCGCTGGTCTTGTTGCTTGGGACAGGGGGGCCGCTGGTCTTGTTGCTTGGGACAGGGGGGCCGCTGGTCTTGTTGCTTGGGACAGGGGGGCCGCTGGTCTTGTTGCTTGGGACAGGGGGGCCGCTGGTCTTGTTGCTTGGGGCAGGGGGGCCGCTGGTCTTGTTGCTTGAAACAGGGGGGCCGCTGGTCTTGTTGCTTGGGACAGGGGGGCCGCTGGTCTTGTTGCTTGGGACAGGGGGGCCGCTGGTCTTGTTGCTTGGGGCAGGGGGGCCGCTGGTCTTGTTGCTTGGGACAGGGGGGCCGCTGGTCTTGTTGCTTGGGGCAGGGGGGCCGCTGGTCTTGTTGCTTGGGACAGGGGAGCCGCTGGTCTTGTTGCTTGGGACAGGGGGGCCGCTGGTCTTGTTGCTTGGGACAGGGGGGCCGCTGGTCTTGTTGCTTGGGACAGGGGGGCCGCTGGTCTTGTTGCTTGGGACAGGGGGGCCGCTGGTCTTGTTGCTTGGGACAGGGGGGCCGCTGGTCTTGTTGCTTGGGACAGGGGGGCCGCTGGTCTTGTTGCTTGGGACAGGGGGGCCGCTGGTCTTGTTGCTTGGGACAGGGGGGCCGCTGGTCTTGTTGCTTGGGGCAGGGGGGCCGCTGGTCTTGTTGCTTGGGACAGGGGGGCCGCTGGTCTTGTTGCTTGGGACAGGGGGGCCGCTGGTCTTGTTGCTTGGGACAGGGGGGCCGCTGGTCTTGTTGCTTGGGACAGGGGGGCCGCTGGTCTTGTTGCTTGGGGCAGGGGGGCCGCTGGTCTTGTTGCTTGAAACAAGGGGGCCGCTGGTCTTGTTGCTTGGGACAGGGGGGCCGCTGGTCTTGTTGCTTGGGACAGGGGGGCCGCTGGTCTTGTTGCTTGGGACAGGGGGGCCGCTGGTCTTGTTGCTTGGGACAGGGGGGCCGCTGGTCTTGTTGCTTGGGGCAGGGGGGCCGCTGGTCTTGTTGCTTGGGACAGGGGAGCCGCTGGTCTTGTTGCTTGGGACAGGGGGGCCGCTGGTCTTGTTGCTTGGGACAGGGGGGCCGCTGGTCTTGTTGCTTGGGACAGGGGGGCCGCTGGTCTTGTTGCTTGGGACAGGGGGGCCGCTGGTCTTGTTGCTTGGGACAGGGGGGCCGCTGGTCTTGTTGCTTGGGACAGGGGGGCCGCTGGTCTTGTTGCTTGGGACAGGGGGGCCGCTGGTCTTGTTGCTTGGGACAGGGGGGCCGCTGGTCTTGTTGCTTGGGACAGGGGGGCCGCTGGTCTTGTTGCTTGGGACAGGGGGGCCGCTGGTCTTGTTGCTTGGGACAGGGGGGCCGCTGGTCTTGTTGCTTGGGACAGGGGGGGCGCTGGTCTTGTTGCTTGGGGCAGGGGGGCCGCTGGTCTTGTTGCTTGGGGCAGGGGGGCCGCTGGTCTTGTTGCTTGGGGCAGGGGGGCCGCTGGTCTTGTTGCTTGGGGCAGGGGGGCCGCTGGTCTTGTTGCTTGGGACAGGGGGGGCGCTGGTCTTGTTGCTTGGGGCAGGGGGGCCGCTGGTCTTGTTGCTTGGGGCAGGGGGGCCGCTGGTCTTGTTGCTTGGGGCAGGGGGGCCGCTGGTCTTGTTGCTGTATCGTGTGACACGGCATGCGCAAATCCTGAGTGCAACGTGTGGTACGTCTTTACCGCTCGCAAGCGCGCTTATGGATCGAGCTGTAGTAGACTGTTGTCTCACGTGCTTGTGGGCGTGCTTGTGTGTGCGGTGGACCGGACTGGCAGGGTGGAGGCGAAGGTGGAGTGGCAGCGGGTGCGAGCACAGCTGGGGGCGGCGAGGAGGCAAGCCCTGGACCACGCCGAGCGCATGCTGCAGGTACGTGGCTTGCAGGGCTTCCTTTGTGCTCCCCATGGAGAGAATCTGTCTGCCCTGCTTCGAGCGTAAATTGCCTGTGTCCTCTCCCATGTTCAGTTTGCGAATGGAAGCTCCCGTTGTGAATTCCTCCCTGCCAATTGCGATGCACCAGTACCTCTCTTGCCCCAGCTGAGTTAATCGTCCCTCCCCACCTCCTCCGTGTGGTATCAGGTGGAGCAGCAGCGGGTGGCAGAGAGGAGAGCAGCAGAGGAGGTGGTGGAGCGGCGAGTGGATGAGCTGCTGGCGGACGTGAGGGCGAGGAGGGCCGCGGCAGAGAGGGTGCTGAGGGAGAGGGAAGAGAAGGCGGTGCTGGGGCAGCAGGCGAGACTCGAGGAGTTGAGACAGCAGGTGCGAGCGCTTGCTTGCGTTGCTGCTGCATTCGATGATATAGGGTACATGCTCCCTCTTTATCTTTCAGATTTTGCTTCGTTCTAGAGTTGATCCGCTGACAGGTGACTCCGTGTGTGGCGCGTTGCAGAAGCAGCAGCTGCTGGAGGAGACAGCAGCCATGAAGAGGGAGCTCGCTGCACGCCAGGAGGCGCTCAAGTCCCGCTGCAAGCCCAAGGCCCAGTCACAGGCCCAGCCCCACTCACAATCACAGCCTGAGCCTGGGACCTCACAAGCAGGGGGTGATCTCGTGCCAGCAGATTTTGCAGCAAGAAGTGAAGCCGGGGAGAGGGATGTGATGAGGGTCGGGGGAGAGGAAAGCAACCCTGTGCCAGACCCAGTCAGACTCGCCCACATGGCAGAGTTCGTGCAGGTAAGGGGATATAAATACAGGGCCCACACTTCTATGGCACGTGTTGTCGGTCAAGCATGCAAGATCATAAGCCATTGTCCTTTCTGTCTAATAACGCTTTCTATCTACCACTCTGGTTTGCCAAACCCCTGCAATCGCAGGGCTGGAGGCTGAGAGAGTACCACCAATCACGCGATGGCAAGCAGATGGACCTCGTCCTCTCGGTCCTCGGATTCGTCACCCTCAGGTGGGTGGGTGTGGGTAGAGAGGCTCTCGGTGCGCAGGGCCGCCTGGGAAGTGAGTGTGCACGCGAGACACAGCTCCGCTGCACCCCATTCTTCCTGCATGGTTCAATCCCTCGCTGATAATTGCCACTGCCATGCTTCAACCACCCCTCCATGTGCTCGCCCCTTCAATGTGCTCACCCACTCCCTGCGCTCACTCACTCCCTGCGCCCATCCCTTCTCTGTGCCCATCCCCTCCTCCCTGGGCGTGCAGGATCCACATCGACCTGGCGTCCTCGTCCTTCTCCTTCTCAACAGCCATCAACCAATCAGTGGTCAACAAGGTATGCTCACAACAATGCGCTTCTGCCCCTATGATCCCTGCGTCCCTTGCTCACATGGCAACACATGCTCCCTTGTTCTCACCCCCCGTACTTTCTCCTCTTCCCACCGCCATCATCGCCCCTCGCAGCAATTCCCTCTCTTTGAGGCGGTGCCAGCGATGGAAGCTCTGGTGGTGGGGCCCAAGGGGGATCACACGCACACGTGCTCGGCCCCTTTCACTGCTGATGCCGTCGCCGCTGCTTACCAGGTAGGTTGCAGACCAAAATCGCAGCTCAGAATCCCTGCAGCCACTTTTCAGCTTCTTCATTTCCACAACCACTTTGCAGCATCCTGTAATTTGCAACGTTCCGCTTACCTTGAAACATCACCATGCCATGTAGGATACACGCCTTGAATTGTGAGAGTTCCGTTTTGCAAGCCAAGCCAGTTCTTGAGGGCGCATCCAAAGTGATAATTTCATCATTTTCAGTTTCCAGTGCAGCTCGGCGTGCTGCAGTTTCCCGTAGCTTCTGTGCTTTGTAGCTATTTCAAGTACGGTACAATTTTCAAATTTCCCACTTTGGAAGTGCCCTGAAGGTGGTTTCGGTTCCGAGATTCCAAAGAATCTGTGCAGCAGAGCCTGATTCCTTCGTGCGTGCTGGCTGCTTCGACGTTCCTTTCCTTCCATGCTGCTCCCTCCACGAACATTTGTTGTGAAGCTGTGGCAGCAATTATGCTCACCCACACCCCGTCTGGCTGCTCATGCCAGTTTAGCAACCCCTACAACCCCTGCGTGTGTGCCTGCCCTTTCGTCCAGGGGGTACTGCTACGGGCGGCGCGCACGCATGCCCTGGTAGGGGAGCTGTGGGAGCAGCGGCAGCGGCTCATGAGGGTCATGCCCTCCCTCGCCCTGCAGCCCTGCGGCACGTCAGGTGAGCTTTGAGGCATCTCAAAACAGGATTGCTGTCAGATGAGGGCCCGGCCCTCCCTCACCCTGCAGCCCTGCGGCACGTCAAGTGAGCTTCAACTCTGTGACGGGTTTTGGCACATTCACCTGTTGTGATGGGCGGGGAGCTGCAACCCTTGCTGCTGGAGAAGTCTTGTTCTCCACCTCCTGGCAACCCATCCTGGAAATGATCACATGCTCTTGCTGCTCCACTACCTTCTCTATAATAAGCTGCTGAACCCATTACCTACTTCCTTCTCCCCCGCCCATGCACCAGCAGGTGATGTGATGGTGCGCGCTTCGTTTGTGGAGTATGAGCCCTTCACCAGGGTCGTGCTCAGCTGCCGCATTCCCTACCAGACAAGGTACGTGCCCTGCCTGCGCACCACTCTACCTGAAGTTTTGGTCTCCGTTTATGCTTTCTCGCCAGATTCCATTCACTTCACTTGGAATGCTAAGGACGTATTCCTACGCACCGGGATCAGGAAGACTCATGCAGAACCGATTCGAACCGCACTGAAACGTGATTCCAACATTTGCACCGCACAGTACCGTGTGAGGCTGATCCTGATCCTGGTTCTTAGGAATACGCCCTAAGTCCAGGAGGAACTAACTGGTTATCCCTGACTTCCTCCTGCCTCCTCCTCCCAATGCATCGCTTGCAGTGGCATGTCCTATCCGTTCACGCGCCCCACTGTGATAGTGGAGGTGCCTCACAGTCGCCTGCTGCCAGCGCAGCAGTTGCAGCACGCAGTAGAAGCAGCAGCGGCCAGGGCGCCTGTGGGGTATGGGCTCTTGACACGCATGCTGCAAGAGGTGGCCAGCACGTTCCAGACTCTCCTCCAGAAGTAAATTTCAGAGTACCAGATAGACAGCCGTAGCAGTGACATGGCGAGGGTAGGAGAAAGCGCAGCACAGCACCCAGGTTCTAAAGCTCAAGTAGGATAACAGTGGTCAGCTGAGTCTAGTGCGATGCGCGCATCTCCTTGTGCACGTCAGATCTGGGTTAGGATATGTAGGATAGGACACCAGAGCATAGCCGGAGCAATCCCTTGCCTGATTATTGACATGACATGACACCTTTCCATTATGCATCGTAAATACCGGTACGACGATATTCATTGAAGAGCACAATTCCCTGTGGCCTTCCAGTTGAAGAGTTGTTGCATGTACTCTTGGTAACAGTGGTAACCAGGAATGCATTATGCAGGTAGTGTGCACACTGTCTGTCACGGGTAGTAACACTGGCTGACAACTATTCTGTCAACACCTGTATATGTGACTGCCCTGTTGGTACAGGAACAGGAGGGAGGAGATGATATACCTAGTACAGGAATGGCTATCACAACATGCACATATGTACACGTGATGAGACGACTCTCACCAGGCACAGCAGTGGAGAATCACAGCCGTGCCTTGGGTGACGATTGGGAGGAGTCAAACGAGCCGTCACAGCTGGCCCCATCGCTGCTGCCGTGCAGCTGCATCCACCCCGCCAGCACCATCTTGTTGCGCTCCGCAATCCAGCACTCAAAGCTCACACGCCGCAACGGCCCCTCCACCATGCCACCCCCTCCTGCAGTCCCTAGATCTTCCTCTGCTGCACTCGACGCAGGGACAGACACGGCCGTCCAGGTTCGGGTGACGAGGGTCTCCCCCGGGAACACGTGCCCCGTGAACCGTACCTGCACGCTGTGGAAGAGGCTCGGGTCGCCCTTGCAGCAGGTTCGGAGGACAGCTCGGGCGGCAAAGCCAAGCGTGCAGAGGCCATGGAGGATGGGGCGAGAATAGCTGAGGGGGTAGGCACAGGGAAAAAGGGGGGGGGGGGGGTTTGGGAGGGGTGTGTGGGTGAGGATGAGGAGAGACAGGGAGTCGGCGTGGCAATGAGGTAAAGGAAGAGGAATTAAGGGGAATGGAGATGAGGAGACATAAATTCGCAACGTGATAAAGCAAGGGCATTGAGAGGTATGCCATCTTCTGACATTGAAATTGAGTCACAAGTTTAAAGGGTGAATTGGGCTGGGGAGGAAGATTCCAAGGGGTATTTACCCTGCTGTGGCGGCGAATTCAGGGTCGGAGTGCAGGGGGTTGAGGTCGCCGCACAGGCGGTACAGCAGCGCCTGGTTGGGCGGAATGCGCTCCTCTGTTGCCACCTCTGGTGGCGGGCGAGCTGCCTGCCTTCTGATGCTGGCGCCAGCCGCTGGCTGTGGTGGCGCGGGCTTCATGGAAGCGGCCGGAGCAGCAGCATGTGCAGCAGTGGCAGCTTTGGAGAAGCCACCAGCGCCGCGCAGCACAATGGATGACCTGATGGGGGCATGGGGGCATGGGGGCATGAGGACATGGGGGCATGGCAGGGCACGTCATGCGATGAGGAGGCGTGGATGGCAAGACAGCTGTGGCAGCGTGCTTTCTGTAAAAACCACATAGCTCTGCTGTAGCACAACTCTTGACGGCCAGCTTGTCGCCCGATTCGTGGTCGAACAACACGGTTTCCACATCTACTATGGCCGCCTTGCCCCCTTGTCTCTGACAGTACGCTTCTACACAACATGGTAAAGCCCTCACAACAGATTCACTGCATCACACACCTGTTGACAGCCAGCCGGTCTCCTGACTCGCGGTCAAATGACACTGTTTCAACATCCACTATGGCCGCCTTGCCCTTGTCCCTCAGCCCAGATATGCGCGCGCAATTCACCACCTGCCACGGGATGAGGGGAGCGAGATGCACACACCACACACACCAGGGTGCAGGCAGGCAGGGTGAGCAGAGACGGCCCTGGAAGGAGCACTCATGAAGAGCGGCTATAGAGAGGTTTCTTTGATGAGAGGTTTCTTTGATGGTTGATGGTTTCTTTGATGGTTGATGGTTTCTTTGATGGTTGATGGTTTCTTTGATGGTTTCTTTTATGAGAGGTTTCTTTGATGGTTGATACAAGCGCTGGCCGATGGCGCTAGTATGGATAGAAAACGAGTGGCTACCTTGGCGTTGGTGGGCAGGGGGCGAAAGAGGCGAAGGTACTGTTCACCGTGCAGCAAGAGAGCAGGGTCGAAGCTGGAGGAGGAAGGGGATGAGAAGGGAGAGGGTGGCGGGTCCAGACAAGAAACGAGGGGTGGGATTTCGGGGGGGTAAAGGTCGATTATAATACCACGGCAGTGAAGATGATACAGACGAGTGAAAGACTAGAACGGGAGAGCGAGGCGCAGTAGGCAGAGAAACAAACGAAAGCACCAACACTGCCCCATCCACTCACACAAGGCCTTCCACTGCTAGGAGCTGATCCAGAAGGGACGAAGGAAAGAGAACCGCAAAGGTGGGGAGCACCTGCAAGTGAATGGAGGGGCGCGTTGGGGGTAAGACGATCGGGATTGCACATGGGTTCATGATCGGTCATGCCTTGCCATCCTGCACGCTTTGACATGCGGGTGGTTGTGACATGCGGATGGTTGTGACATGCGGATGGCACGTGACACATGGAGAGTGGCTGTATTTCGTGGAGGATGATGTGGGGTTAGACTGACTGCCTGATGTGGCTGTGGCTTGGTGCTTACGAAGAATCGATCTTGGAAGAGGTGATTATAGGCGAAGGGCAGGTCGATAGAGTCACATGCATCAGATGAGCATGCTCCAACTGCCAACGCGTACAGTGCCACGTCCCTGCAAGCTCACACGTGGAGACAAGACATGCCACACACACGTAGGGACAAGCCATGCCACACACGAAGGGACAAGCCATGTGACACTAACACAGGGATACCTCATGCACACACATGCCGCAACAAAGGCACGCCACAGAGACATGGAGTCAGGCAAATTTTGAGGCGCCTCAGAAGTTGCCACAGAGACATGGAGTCAGACAAATCCACACGAACGCACGCAGCAACAAGTGTCACACACGAGAACAAGCCCCGCCATAAACACAGGAGCAACAGACGAGATGGTCACAGAAAAAGAACACGCTGATCACTGGAGCTGGACTGTTCACAGTTTTCAACGCTCAGCAAACAATGTTTTGTCGCCCTCCCCTCCGACCTCGCACCCCTGTCCGACTCGCCATCACCTTCCTCTCCCTGCTGCTCCCCCAACCGCCTCCCTGCTGCGCCCCCAACCGCCTCCCTGCTGCTTACTTTTCTTGAGGCTATTTTTGAGGCGCCTCAAAAGAATCTTTCCCTGTTCCCCCAACCGCCTCCCTGCTGCTTACTTTTGTTTGTACTCAAATTCCGACTGAACGGCCCTCCGTATTTAGTGGCGCACGGGAGCCAATTGAAGCCATCCACATGGCATGGGATGGGATAGATGGGAAAGGGAGGAGGTGGGAAGGGAAGGAGATGGGAAGGGAAGGAGAGGCATCAAGTAAGTTACGGCGGTGGAGTCGAGAAGGAGGGAGCAATGACAGCGATGCGACTTCGGACTCGACTCGAAGGTGGAATGGTGAAGGTGGCTTCATGCGAAGCCACCGATGCCACCGACCTCGTCGAACTCGTATCCGATAACCTTTCCCGCCTCGATTGTCGAGCCTCCACCTGATGACGTCATGTCTCAGAGTCCGAATGTGAGGATGTGGCTGATTCTGGCACCCTCAAGGTGAGACGAAGAATCCTTCAGCTTGAATGTCAGATGGCGGCGATTGCTAGCAGCCTGCAGTCAGACGATACGTTCTCCCTGTCTCAACGCCAGAGGATGAACTCCTACAGCCTCGAAGTCAAACGTTTTTTGCAGCCTGAGTGTCAGGTTATCAGTAATCGCAGCGCGAATGCCAGTTGATGATTCTTCCTGTCTCAACGGCACAAGAAAATTCTTTGAGAAAGGAAGCCGGAGAATGTGTTTTTCCACTCAATGTCGGATGACGAATTGCTGCAGTCTCCCGCTCACAGCAGAAAATGCGCGAGGTTCCTAAGAGGAGAAGGTTTAGACACACGATCACCGCTTTGAGGAAATGCCCCCAGCATGGCGGGCGGAGCGGAGAGGCGCAAGGGACTGGGCGGGAAAATCGAGGTGCCTCCCTCCAGTCATCACCGCATGCTCTGGTTGTGCTTCGCTCGGCGTTTGCGAAAAGCGTTCCCGAGAGATGGCGAGCTGACGACATCCAGCGAAAATGTTTGCGAGGCCAATCAAAACATCAACATTGGAGTTGGGTTGGGATTTGCGTGCGCTGCGCGGTTTGGGGGGGGGTGGGTTTGCGGGGGGCAAGCAGAGAAGGCAGCGCGCCATGCATGCCCAGCACGCATTGTCTGGAAGGCGGATATAATTCACAATGAGGCCTTAGCTACTACTATTCTGACCGTGATACTGTAGTCACAAGGTCTGCATTGCACGGCCGACGTGGCAACGTCAGATTCTTGCAGCGTACTGTAACACAGCACTTGCTGGCACCTCAGTCATTGAAAAGACAAACCCAAGATGCCGGCACTCAAGCAGAAATCAAGACGAAGTCACAAAGCGCGTGTGATGACGTGGATCCGGGCCGTGAGACGCGACGACGCGACGAGCCACAGGCGCGGTCTGGGTACCGTGTATTGGCCGAGCAACCACCAAACGTCGCAAATAGGTCACTTGCGGAAACTTGCAGGACAAGGCACTTCTCGCCGAAAGTACGAGTTCGCCTTCACTCGTTTTTTCAAGAAAAGGTTTCTTTCCAGGGAGACGACAGTCAGGCTACTCTGTTCTCTAGGTTATTTCTCTTACGAAGGAGCCGCTTCACCTGTAACTGCGATCCCATACTTCCGTACGCCTTACTTCCGTACGCCTTACTTCCGTACGCCTTACTTCCGTGCTTTACTCCCGCACCCCTTACTCCCTCATACTCGCCATGCTTTCCCGCCACTCCCTCCGCGTCTGGCTAAGGCCCGTGGCCGAAGCGTTTCGCGCCCAACCTTCTTTAATAGCTTTTAGCGGGGCGGATGGGTTGAGACATGGGAGGAAGAGCCCCACGGGGGTTGGTATACCAACCGCTGGTGCGACTTCCCGTTTGTATCACAAGAACGTGGTGGATCATTACAATCACCCGCGGAACGTGGGGGCGTTCGACAAGCGCGACCCAGATGTCGGCACGGGATTGGTGGGCGCGCCGGCGTGCGGCGATGTGATGAAGCTGCAGATTAAGGTGGATGCTGACGGGAGAATCGTCGACTCGTGCTTTAAGACGTTCGGATGCGGTTCTGCCATCGCGTCGTCGTCACTAGGTAAGCATCATCACCGCATCACCATCGCTTGGTAAGTGTTGGCATCACTCGGTGGGCTCAGGCGCCTTGTCCTCAATTGCCAGCAGCCGCTAGCACATGCGTCTAAGGTGCTACTAGCACCTGCTAACCTATGCCAGCCAGCTCCAGGAATGGCCCACAGCGAAATTTCTCTATGTTCTTTTCATTTCTTCTCGCTGGTCTCTTCTTCGTTGTATGGCAGCTACGGAGTGGGTGAAGGGGAAGCATGTGGACTCGGTCCTTGAGATCACCAACAGGTGAGCTCTCCTCTCCCGTTCGCTGGTTCTTTCCGGGATTGGCGTGGCTAGCTAGGCTCTGTTCCCACGGTTTGGATCTCGTGAAGGCAATCCGATGACTTTTGAGTCGACTCAATAGAAGGCAATCCGATGACTAAGCCTGCTGGGACGGTCAACACAGGCCTGTTTTCCACCCCCCATCTCTCTTCCCTCTCTCCGTGTTTCCACAGGGACATTGCCAAGCACCTGTCGCTGCCCCCCGTGAAGCTTCACTGCAGCATGCTGGCTGAAGACGCCATCAAGGCGGCCGTGTATGACATCAAGGTGAAGAGGGAGAGGCAGGAGCAGTAAATGCAGCAATACTGCTGTGGGGCAAGCAGTGAGCAGAGCGTCTCCTCTGCTGCTATGGGATGCTATGCTGTGAACTTCGCTCAGTGCTGTTAACGCTGTACATAGATTCTCAAGCACGAGCCCTGTATTTTTGTACATACCCACCAGTGTGTTGAGGAGTCCAATTCGACCTGTAACCAATATTTGGTACCAACAAGGACACTGCAACTGTACCTATGGTACGGTACCAGTCAGGGGAGATCTTGTGACACATTTGGCTTCAAGAAGCACGCTTGTGTACACGCTCTCCATGAGAGGAGCCACGTGCATCTAGGTAACCCATCCAATGGCAAGGAAAGATACACACAGAAAATCACCATGAATTCGCTTCCTGGCTGCTCTCCGCCGCACAGGGTGAAACATTACCTCTACCACCAGCAGACCTCCACCTCCCCTTTTCACTCCCCACCTCTCTCGCTTCCTTCCTCCTCCCCCCCTCCACCCCATCCCCCCCACTCAGCCTCCTCTTCCTCCTCCGCCGGTACTCATGCAGCACGTACGGCACCCCCCACGTTGCCACCACATCCCCCTCTATCTCGTCCGCTGGACTGTCGCCCTTCTCACTCCCTTGCCCCACATGCGCGCATCCCTCCGCTGCATCCCCCTCCTGCAGCACACCCACGCACCCCCCTCCCTTGCCCGTTTCTGCACCCTCCCTCGTCTCCTCTTTCCCGTCCAACGCACCAATCCCATCAGCCTCATCAGCCTCACCAACCCCATCACCTTCCTTCGCCTCCTCTCCAGTGCCCCCAGCAGTTCTCCTTCCGTCTTCCCATTCCCCAGCGTCACCAGCACAGCCTCTCCCCTCCAGCTGCTGCCCTCCCTGTCTCCCGCCATCACCATCGGCGCGCCAACCATGCAAGCCACCAGTCTCGTCCTGCCTCCCACCATCACCATCAGATGGAGTGAACGCCGATGTGTTGCGCATTCCGTTCTGAGGGCCATTTCCTGACCCCCCCCCATTGGACGTGGGCAGCCCATCCTCATCATTTTCCGTTTCATCCTCATTCCCATCCCCCATATCATCCCCCACATCATCCCCCATATCCCCCGTGTCATCATCGCCCATGGAATCACTCCCCACATCCCTGACTTGGTCCATATCACCACCCCTCGTGTCACCATCGCCAGCATCATCATGCCCTGCAAAACCATCCCTTGTATCACTGTCCCCCATACCGCCATCAACCACGTCCTCGCCACGTTTCCACGTGTCAACCACTGCATCCCTGTCCACCCCATCACCCGCAACCCTCCCAGCAGCGCCCACAGCGCCCACAGCAGCACCAGCAGCACGAGCTTCGTCTCCCTCAGAAGCCCTGATCTCTTCGATCCCAGCCGGGATCGAGTCATCCCCTTGACCTTGCCCTCCCACCAGCAGGAGTGAAGGATTGGGGGTCTCAGAGCCCTCTGGCAGCTCTTGAAACGAAGGGGTTTCTGTCCCGGTTCCACATTCATGCATCCCTTCCTTGCTCCCTCCTCTCCCTTCCATTGAATCCCGGTCACCATCACCATCCCTCCCAGCATCCCCCTTATCACTAGCATCCCTACTGCCATCTCGGCTTTCCCCTGCTGCTGCTGCTGCTGCTGCTGCTGCTGCTGCTGCTGCGGGTATTCCTATGCAAGCCTCCCCATTCTCCTGTGAAGGGGATCGCTGCTGCCTTTGCTGCTGCTTATACTGTTTCTCCAGCGCCATAGGCAATACCTGCTCCTGTTCCTCCTGCTGCTGCCTCACAACCCCTTCCCGCGGTTCCTGTGCTTGCACCGCCAGCAGCAGCTCCCGCCCTTGCTGTGCCACTAGCACATGAGGCAACAAGACCAGCTGTGTGGGGGGAAGCTCCTGCGTCTGCATGGCCCTCTGGGACTGCGACTGAGATTCCGACTGCCCCTGCGATGCACCGGGCAGGTGTGGCTGCGACTGAGATTCCAACTGCCCCTGCGAAGCACGGGGCAAGTGCGGCTGTGACTGCCCCTGCGACGGCAGCTGACCTTGCAACTGGACCTGTGAGGCAACTGGCACTGGCGACAGCAGCGGCCCTTGCGACTGCAATAGCCCTTGTGACTGCCCTTGAGACTGCGCCTGTGAGAGCAGTTGAGTCGCGACCTGCGCCTGTGTCTCTGCCTGCCCCGGTGCTACAGCTTCTATGTGTACCTGTGCGTCTGTGTGCCCTTGCGTTTCTGTTTCTGTCTCTGCAGCTGCCTCTGCTCCTGGTCGTAATTGTGTGTCGCCATCAGCATCACACCTCCCAGCTCTCATAACCAAAATCTCATTCGCACCAGGTGAGGCCTCCTCCACCCCTTCACTCAATGCTGTTGCGCTACCCTCTATCCTCAAGACATCTCTTTCTTCGTTTCCTTCTCCTGCACTCCCGCTTCCTCCTTCCCTTTCCAACCTACCCTCCCCCTCTGCACCCTCCCCTATCTCCTCCTCGTCCCCATCCGTCATCCCCTCCATCAACCCCTCCCCCAGCACCCCTCCGCGCCCCCCGCTGTACTCCTGAGTCTCAGCCTCCATCATCTCTTCTAGTGCGTCTGGTCCCTCTACTCTCTCTACTCTCTCTTCCAATGGACCCTCCTCTGCATTCACTTCCTCATCTGACGAATATTCCTCCGTCTCTCCTGCTTCTCCATCGCCTCCCTCGCGTCCGCCCTCGTCCCCCCGAAAGAGCTCCCTCCTTACAAGCGACAAGCCCTCCCTCTCCTCCCCTGTCGCAGCCTCGTTTCCCCCCTCGTTTCCACCCCTTACAGTCACACTCCCTTGTGCCACAGCACGTGCATCAGCTTCAGTAGGAAGCGTCTCGCCTTCCAAAGGACAAGTATCCCCTCCCCCAACCATTCCCCCTCCCATTCCGTCTCCTGTCTCAGCTTCTTGGGTCATCTCCTCATCCTCCTCCCCTTCTTCCTCCTTCCCCTCCGTCCCCTTCAGTTCCCCCTGATCCCTTCCCTCGACATTCCCCACCTTCCTCTCCCCATCACCCCCCCTCTTCCCCTCGCCCTCCCCATCCTGCAGGACTTGGAACATCCGCGTCAGCTGCTGCTGCTGCTCCAGGTGCGCTCTCAGCATCTGCTGCTGCAGCTGCTGCTGCCGCTGCTGCTGCGCCTGCTGCTGCAGCTGGGCGCGCACCACCTGCTGTTGCAGCTGCTGCTGCGAGTGCCCCAGCGCCGTCTGCTCCTCGTGCGCCTGCTCCATCTGCTCCTGCAGACTCGCAATGTGGTTAGCTGTCTTCTCAAACTCGCGCTTCTGGGCGTCCCTGCTAAAGGCGCACGGGAAGGGGGAGAGAGGGAGAGGGGTGTTGAGTCGACTCAGAAGCGGCTGCTGCTGTGAGTGCCCCAGCGCCGTCTGCTCCTCGTGCGCCTGATCCATCTGCTCCTGTAGACACGCGATGTGGTTCACTGTCGTCTCAAACTCGCGCTTCTGGGCGTCCCTGCTAAAGGCACGAGGGCAGGGGAAGAGAGGGAGAGCAGGAGGAGCGGGGTAGAGCGCAGAGAGGGGCAGAGCAGAGACGAAGGGAGAGAATGGCCAAACAAGGGGAAGGAAGCTTCTCAGCTATCCCAGAATCCGGTGCATGGCTGCTTTATTACGGCTGCTTACGACCATCTGAGCACAACGCAACGCCTGACACCAGCCCATTCCTAACACGTCAAGAATAGATTCAGTCTTAAATAGCTTGAGGGAGAAAGATAAGCTCAAGGGAGCCACAAGTGAGCAAGAGGCACAGAGCGCAAGGCGTACCGCAGCATAATCCTCTCCCTCGCGCCCTGCAGCCGCCTCTGCTCCACTGACAGCCGCATCTGCACCTTCCGAACCTCCCCTGCCAAGCCAGAGGCTCGGGCCTCCGAGGCTGCCAGCAAGGCCTGGAAAAGGCTCACAGGAACAGTCACAAGAACACACAGTTGAACATTAAGAGAAAGAGGACGGTCTGGTTGACAGAAGGGGAACCAAGGGCAGTGGCGGTGAAAGCATGCATGGCGTGTAGGCGGTGCATAAGCATAACCAAACACAGCAGGCGGCCGGGCCACCCACCAGTAGCTCGCCCACTTCCCCCTGTTTCCCTGCAAGCGCCGCCTCTGCTGTCGCCACTCGCTGCTGCAGCAGCGCCGCCCTGCCCCTCTCCTCCTCCACCGTGCCCTCCGCCCTCCTCGCCCTCTCGTGCCCCGCCACCACTGCTGCGCGCTCCCCCTCCTGCCATGCACCACGAGCACATGGGGAAGCAGGGGGGAGGTGGGGGAGAGGGGAGAAGAGGAGACAGGGAGCAGGGAGAGAGGGGAGGTAAGGGCAGACCAGTGTGGATGGCTACTGCAGCCATGCTTGGAACGCCGATCAAGTTATGAGACTGCTCAACATCAACTCTTGAGTTTCAAGACGTGGCAGAACTTGAGAGGAGGTTAAGGGCAGGCTGGTGCGGATGGCAAGTGAAGCGATGCTTGGAACGCGAATGAGCAAAGCACTCACCAGCTTGGCGGAGAGCGAGTCGATCGCTGCCTGCCTCTCCTCGTTCTTAGCCTGCAAAGGGACGCAGACAGAGGTGCAGACACTGGCGTTGGCAACGCAATAAAAAGGTGACAAAATTGGCATTCAGGCAGGCTGCAACCAGGTAGGTTGCAACCTTACTTGAGGAGTCAATTTTTGAGGCGCCTCAAAAATAGACTCCTCACTGGCATTGGCAACGCAATAAAAAGGTGACAAAATTGGCATTCAGGCAGGCTGCAACCAGGTAGGGTGCAACCTTACTTGAGGAGTCCATTTTTGAGGCGCCTCAAAAATAGACTCCTCACTGGCATTGGCAACGCAATAAAAAGGTGACAAAATTGGCATTCAGGCAGGCTGCAACCAGGTAGGTTGCAACCTTACTTGAGGAGTCAATTTTTGAGGCGCCTCAAAAATAGACTCCTCACTGGCATTGGCAACGCAATAAAAGGTGACAAAATTGGCATTCAGGCAGGCTGCAACCAGGTAGGTTGCAACCTTACTTGAGGAGTCTATTTTTGAGGCGCCTAAAAAATAGACTCCTCACTGGCGTTGGCAACGCAATAAAAAGGTGACAAAATTGGCATTCAGGCAGGCTGCAACCAGGTAGGTTGCAACCTTACTTGAGGAGTCTATTTTTGAGGCGCCTCAAAAATAGACTCCTCACTGGCATTGGCAACGCAATAAAAAGGTGACAAAATTGGCATTCAGGCAGGCTGCAACCAGGTAGGTTGCAACCTTACGTGGGTTGTTGCCATTGGCATTGATTGATATTTACCGACACTGACATTCACCGCATCACTCACAACGAGCGCAGCAGCCCTCTCCTGAAGCTCCTTAATCGCCCGCTGAGACCTCTCTGCAGCCGCTGCTGCCTCTGCTGCGGCTGCTGCCTGCAATCGCTCCACTGCTGCCAGCCGCTCCGCCTCCAGCTCCCTCCTCTCCCTCACCCTCTCCTCCGCCTCCCTCTCCCTCTCCCTGCATGCCCTCTCCACCTCGACTTGCAGCCTGCACAGCAGAAGAGAAACATGAAGAACACAGGAGGTGACAAGAAAGGTTGTAATCAGTATCTGCGCGCGGTACAATGAGATTCCATACACTCACACTCAACACAATGAAATAGAAAGTACACTCACACTCTTCAGCCGACTCACCCTGCTTTCGCAGCTTCAGCCTCAGCCCTCGCCTTCCTCTCCACGACCAATCGCTCGCTGACACCTGTCAGCTCCTCCTGCAGCCTCGCCACCTCCCCCTCCGCCTGCTCCTGTCTCCTGGCAACCGCCTCTCTCTCCCTCTCCGCCTCCTGCACCCGCCCCTCCCACTCCCCCTGCACCTCCCGCCGCACAACCTGCAGACCCTGGAAAAAAAAACAGGGAGGATAAAAGAGAAAGATTTGACTACTGGTACGCCTGGTACTGCATAGACTTCTTCTTCCGCGACTGCCTCCCTCCCCCTCTCCCTCCCGCCCGCACCCGCCCCTTCCACTCCTGCTGCACCTCCCCACGCACAGCCAGCACGCTCTGGCGTGGGGATTCCAGCGAGGAAAAACAAAAGCATCGCTTTCTGGACCCCTGAAATGGCTGACAACAGCGAGGAGACAAGGTAGGCGTCACAGACATTGGCCAGTGTCGTCGGACATCCTCACCCCTCTGTATCACTCCATCTCTCCTGCATCACATCCATTGTGCCACTCACTCTTGCCCGTTATCAACCCTTACACGCATCTCCTCATGCCGCTGCTCCTCCCGCTGTCGCTGACTCAGCAAAGCAACATCTCATCAATCCTGGCAGCCTCAATCCCTACTCCATCCCACACCTTTGACCCCCCCTACACGCACTCACCTCCTCATGCCGCTGCTCCTCCTCAATGCTGGCTCCTGTTGCTCCTCACTGCACACTACAAACTTCTCATACAACAGGTCTCTCACCTCCTCATGCCGCTGCTCCTCCCTCTGTCGCTGACTCAGCATCTCGTCCATCCTGGCAGCCTCGGCGTCCAGCTGCTGCCGGAGCTCCTCATTGGCCCGCCGCAGCTGCTTCATCTCCTCAAGGATCGCCACGTCAGCAGCTGGGAGAGCCACGTCAGCAGCGGGTAAGCCCCCTTCCGTAGGTGACGCTGCTCCAGTCGCAGCCGTGACAGAAGCAGGCGTGGCAGGAGCGAGGGCAGCACTGCCGGGAGTTGACACTGCAGCATTGGCAGTTGATGATGCCACAGCATTGCCAGTACTACAAGGGGAGAGCGAGTTGTGAAGGGACCCCTTGGACCCTCTTCTGCGCTTTGGAACCCCTCCCACTGCCGCTCCCCCTTCGTCTGGATCTGCTGCTACAGCTGCTGCTGCTGCTACAGCTGCAGTTGCTACAGCTGCTGCTGCTCCTGATCCTGGGTGCGGTGGTGCATGGCTGGGCAGAGGCCGTGCTGCTGGGGACAAGCGAGGAGGAGGGGGGAGCATCTGGCCCTTAAGCGAGGAGGCCAGGGGGCTGGTGGCTAGACCATGGCTCGGATCTACTGCCACAGGGCTTGGATTGGAGCCCAAGGCGTGGGCCTTGCGCTTCACCAGCACTGTCGCCATCCCTCCTCCTGCTGCCGCCTCTCCGTGCTCTCTCTTCACGCTCACTCCCCCCACTGCCCCACTGCCTGCACCAGCGCCTGCTCTTTCCGCACCTGCTGCTGCATACTTGGCAGGGGATCTTCCTGCTGGATCAGGGGAGTGTGGGCCTCTAGCAGCAGAAACGCCGTTGACAGCACCACCAGCAGTGGCAGAAGGAGCTGCAGGAGCAGGTGGTATCTGTGCTCCCTCCAAGCGCAAGAAGACAAACGTGTGAGCCACGTCTGAGCAGGATAGAGATGAGAAGAAACACACGCAGGGAAAAAGACGGGGGGTGTGAGGAGGGAAAAAAACGAACAGGGAACGAGCCATGCATGCCACAGACCTCCCACGCCTCTGAACCACCCACCACTACCCGCGCACCTGTGTCTGTCGCCCCACGCACCTGTCTCTGCCGACCCACGCACCTGTCCCTGCCGCCCCGCGCACCTGTCTCTGCCGCCCCACGCACCTGTCCCTACCGCCCACGCACCTGTCCCTGCCGCCTCACACACCTGTCCCTGCCGCCCCACGCACCTGTCCCTGCCGTCCCACGCACCTGTCCCTGGCGGCCCCACGCACCTGTCTCTGGCAGCCCCACGAGCGAGAGCACATCGCCATGCTTCAGCTGCTGGGGCGGCCCGTTTCTCTGCAGGCGCACGCCGTTGATGAACGTGCCGTTGGAGCTGACATGTGGAGAGACGGAGGGAGAAGAGGAGAGGAGTAAGTAAAGCAGACGAATACAAGGTCTGTTAACGTCCTCTGCAGGCGAGTGCCGTTGATGAACGTGCTGTTGGAGCTGACATGTGGCAAGGCGGAGGGAGAAGAGGAGAGGAGTAAGAAAAGCAGGCGAATAAAAAAACGGCTGTTAACGTTCTCTGCAGGCGAGTGCCATGCAGACACGTGTGCTGAACCTCAGGTGCCCACACGTGCATGCACCGCTCATGACCGCATGACATGCATCTGCCAGCGAGAGCCCTGGCGCTGAACTCACCTCGTGTCCTTCACTAACACAACGAAAGCCTCCCTGCTTTCTCCATCTCTCTCAGCTCCTGCTGCTACCCCCCCCCTTGTCCCTACTGCGGCTGCCCTTCCTGCAGCTGCTGTCGCACCACTTGCTGTTTCCGCCACCCCAGCGGAGGGGGACACCCCGTCCCCGCGTGGGGGCGCAGGGGCTTCCGCAGGGGAAGGGGAAGGCGGGGGGAGGCAGGAGATGACGCAGTGGCGTGCGGAAACAGCGGGGCTGGCGAACTGGAAGGGCGGAGGCACCTGGCGGCCCAGCAGGGTGTCGCGATTCACCAGGGGGATGAGCGGGCCCTGCGGGAAGCAATAAGGAGACAGCCATATTGAGCTCGTGGGGATGGGAGTTGGAAGGGTGGAGGCCCCTGGCGGTCAAGTAAGTTGTCGCAATTCACCAGGGGGATGAGCGGGCCCTGCGGGAAGCAGTAGGGGGGTTTCGAAAGGAGCCAATTTAGATGGAAAAAGCCGCAGCTTTGGAATTGAAGCAACGGCCGTTCTGCAAAAAAAGGGGGGATGCAGGTGTACGAAGACCACAGCAGTGCCTTCCCGACGGCATACCTTCGGCCGCTGCTTCGCGTTTGCGTTGATTCCTTGTAAAACACCCCACTGCCCGCGTATGTAACTCTTCGGCGACGATTTCGCCACCTCTTTCGCGAGCTCGTACGGCGAAACTGGCGGCGACGAGGACGACGGCATCCCCGTAGTTGGCGCTGCTGACTTGGCAGGTACCGCCGATCCTGGCTGTATTCCCGGCTCGTTCGCCATCCCCGCTAACAAGTGACCTAACGAGCGGCTAGAACCTCGCGCTGGTGCAACTATCGACGCTGGAACGCTAACAGGTCCTTCGATAACGGGTGTTCTCGAACGCCGGGGAACGATAAGGTGCGAAGTAAGTCGGCTAGAAGGACGAGGTTGAGGAGCATCGTTCGCCTGACGTACTTGATTTGCCTGACTATCGTCTGAGGCTGACGGAAAGGTAGAGAAAGTGAACGGATGACGAGGGAGGATGGCCATGACTTACGCTGAACGGTCGTTTGCGCTCTACTGCGACACGTGAAATAGACCTGCGCGGAACTTGCGATGCTCTGATTTTCATCGTTGTGGTTTTTAAACGGCCAAAAGCGAGACACTAAACGAAATTGTGTAAACCTCGCAGAAGCGTCAGAGTGACGGAGCCCGAAACCGGCTTCAGGGGGACGCAGGGTCCGTAGTTCGGCTACCGTTGGCTTCTGATGAGAGGTATCTCAAGCCATGGCTGATGAGAGGTACACATGTGATGACTTTCCAGACAACAGATAATACTGATCGTCACGAATTGTGATGGTGTCAGTCAGCCAGTCAGACACGGAGATTCGTCACCGTGAAGCTGACATCGAGAATGCTTTCCCGCCAAAATCCTCTTCACATGCAGTTGTTACAATTGAACATCGAGTATAGCTAGGATGGCATAAATTTGACTTTGTAGGGATCGTTGAATTTTAGCTTGCTGTAATGAGGATACAGTGGATCGCATGGCAAACGCCTCGCTTTGCCACGTCGGTCCCGCGTAAATCCTCGAATATCTCCAGCATGGAAAGTCTTGCTCCTAGCGAATGTTGAAATTCCACGTCTTCCCTTACTGGGCGTGAGCAGATGACGCGAGAACCTGTGTGACACAATCGAGGTCAGGCTCTCTGGGAGAGTTCAGGGGCGAAATTCAGGAAATTCCAATCTGGAGGGATCAAGCTGTCTCTGCACCCTGAACTTCTCGACCCTACTGGTCGACATTTCCAAGGTTCACCTCACTCACAGTCAGGGTCATTGCTTTCCAGGCACAAGGAATTTGGTACATGAGCAACTAAACTGCTTCCCTTCCACATCAGTTGCCTTGCCGCTTCCGCATATTCTACTTTCAGGATCACAGCTCCTGAATTTTAGTTTCCGAAGTGTGACCATGGCTTGCGCTGCGTCGACTTCCGCGCTCTCGTGCACCGCCGCGGCTGCATTGACGGCCCACGCCAGCCCGTCACGGTATGCCACACATCGTACTCTGGTGATATGATCGCAGAATCCATGAAGTGAATTCATCGCAGTATTTAGGATCAGGAAACGAATCGTTTCATTTAGCAGCCAACACTACGTGTATGGAACGCAGTACCACAAAACCACCGGCCGTTTACATGTTCGTCTCGTCCATTCCCCGATCCGCAGAACTGCCGCGACGCTCAGCTGCAAGAGCGCCTTCAGCGGCAGCCTACGCCTGACCAGCCGGTCGCGGACTGCGAGGCCTCACTCCCAGCGCCGGGTTGCAGTGGTGTCGCCGCGAGCCGTGGACATTCTGACGTGGGAGGAGGCGAAGGAGGCAGTGGACAAGGACGGGTACACCATCGTGGATATCCGTGACGTCACGCAGTACGAGCGGGCCAGAATTCCAGGCAGCGTTCACATTCCCGCGTTTATCCTGAACACCGACAACGACATTGGTACGTCCGCTCGTCTCTCACATGAAGCGTGTGGAAACGTGGGATGCTGCACTCAGTTTAGAATCTCTCCAAGGCGCCACAGGATCCGCCGGTGGTAGCTAATTCAGGTTCCACGCCTCCCTCCCATTCCCCTTCCTCCGCCAGGCACGATCGTCCGGCGCATCGCTCACACGAGCATGCCCGGCAATCTGTACGGCCTAGCGTTCACGAAGCCCAACCCGGACTTCATCTCCACCATCCGTTCCAAGTTCCCCACGCCGGACTCCAAGATCCTCTTCGTCTGCCAAGAAGGCCTCCGGTAAGCACATCAATACATGTAGGATAGGTAAATCTTCTACGGAAAATGCGAGGATATTACAATTAGGAGATAACACCATTGCTTTCGTCGATTCCGATGATGAGCATTTTCGTTTTGCGTCCTCACTATTCCGCATTCCCTTCACCACTCTCACCCGCAAATGCATATCAGCTCCACCTCCGTGGCCGCTGACCTGGAGAGGCTCGGATTCACCAACGTGGTCGTCACAGCAGGCCTCAACAAGCTGCGGCCTGGTGAGCCGCGCTCGTCATGGCCTTTCTAAATATACGAAGCACAGACGTGTCAGGAAGGATATCGTAACGGCTTACCAGCGATTATGATCGCTATCCTAAAAGCCCGTGCTAAAAACATCTCCATTTTCCATGACACCTAACGGAAATTAGTTTCACTGAAATGACGTCGCTCCTTCTGCTGTTTGATTTGCCGCTTGTGCCCCAGGGTTGTTCCCCAAGGAGGGTGAGAGGGAACTTCAAAACGCAGGCAAGGGAGGTTTCGTGGCCATCCAGAAGGAGTTCTCCATCATCCTCGGCTCCATCCTCATCTGTGAGTGCTTGCCACATGCCCCACGCTGCACGGTTGCTGTCGCGTTCAGTCACCTGTGGGAGCACATTCTCAAACAAATTGTTGCTGTTGTCATGACTGCAGCTTTGCCTTTCCCTCCCCTTTTCTCCAGCCACCCTTTCCCTCTTTTGCCCTCAAGAATAGACCCTCCCTTACATGCATTGCTTGCTCTCCCTTGCTCGTCCTTGCAGCCGCCATTCTCTTCCTCAAGTTCTTCCCTGAGCAAGCTGAGGTCATCTTTGGAAACCTTTAGAGCGCTGAACTATCCCTCTGTCATATAATGTTATAGGTACCACTGCAAAGTTCAGTGTTCATACAGTGAAAGTTTAAAGCTGATGCTGCTAGTACTACAACTCGAGTCCATCTCATGCTATGGGCCAACTGCACAATGCAGTTCGCCATGTTTAACCAAGACAATGCCACCCCGATCAGCCAGCCACCCTCTAGTACATCAAGAGAAATTTGCCAACATCGTGGATGATGTCAAACAGTTATATGCGAATAGATTTACCTCAGAGAACAAGGAGCTAGACATGTAGGGGAAAATATATCGGCGCTCAGTATTAGGGGCTTTGATAACATGTACGGTCAGTGACACAGTATAAACAATCGGAATTAGCTGTTAAATTATATTTGTTATATAATTGTAGGCACCCTTAGGAATCAGGATACCGCAACAGAAATACCCTGTCTCCTAGGGTGGAATTTTCAGCACCCTTTGAAAATCAGGGTGAATTCGTAAAAACTAGTCAATACCCTGTTTGAGTCAGGGTACTAATGCCATCACCCTGTCCACTGCGCGGTTAACAGCTACTACAATTTCAACTTCTTACTAGCAAGCATACAAGCAGGATCACTACAGCAAAGAATCAATAGCCTCTCCTACTTCAGCTACTTCCGTCAGCATTGCACCACTGCAGAGATACAGCAACAGCGGTGAGGGCAGTAACAGCTACAGTGTTCCTTCCTTCCGCGGATGAAGCTGCTGCTGGAGGTGCTGAAGGGGAGGAAACGCAGGGGCAAGGACATGGTGATGCGCAGGGGGAGGAGCGAGAGACTAACAGAGCAGCGGGAGACTAAGGGCATATTCGTGAGTTTCGACTCATTTCGCTCATGAATACGCCCTTACGCCCTTAGTTTTAACTCGCATGCGCAGCGAGAGACTAAGGGCGTATTCATGAGTTAGCATCAGAAACAAAATCAGAATCAAAGCCGCGCAAATCCGAACCGAACCAAACCTCATTTCACTCTTGCACCTTACTTTACCGTGCAAGTCTGAATTCGAATCTGTTTCTGGTGCTACCTCAGGAATACGCCTTGAGGGAGCAGCGAGATACTAAGGGAGCAGCGAGAGACTACGGTAAGAGAGCAGCGAGAGACTAAGGGAGCAGCGAGAGACTAAGGGAGCAGCGAGAGATTACGGGAGCAGCGAGAGACTACGGGAGCAGAAGGAGACTACGGGAGCAGAGAGAGACTACGGGAGCAGCGAGAGACTACGGGAGCAGCGAGAGAGTATGGGAGCAACGAGAGACTAACAAGGCTGGGAACGAGCGAGAGAGACGAAGGCAGGGAACAGAGACACTGGGGGAGGGAGCGGCCAAAACGAAAATCTGTTGGTGCGAAGTGTCAAACATCTGTATTTGTCATGTTTGTATAGACTGTATAGGGTTACCTCTTAGAGGGTACAACACTTAGGTATATTTGTGTGTACTCTCACTTTACCAATCATTCAATTCCAATTCTGATATGGTATCACGCGTAGGTAGGATCCCCCCCACCTACAGCTTCCGCTCATGCCCCCTAGCGCCCCTCCCAGGCCCCGTCGCGCTCCTCCCAGGCCCCCTAGCGCCCCTCCTGGGCCCCGTCGCGCTCCTCCCAGGCCTCGTCGCGCCCCTCCTGGGCTTCGTAGCGCCCCTCCTGGGTCCAGTAACGCCCCTCCCAGGCCCCGTCGCGCCCCTCCCAGGCCCCGTCGCGCTCCTCCCAGGCCCCCTCGCGCCCCTCCTGGGCCCCGTCGCGCTCCTCCCAGGCCCCGTAGCGCCCCGTCGCGCCCCTCCTGGGCCCCGTAGCGCCCCTCCTGGGCCTCGTCGCGCCCTTCCTGGGCTTCGTAGCGCCCCTCCTGGGCCCTGTAACGCCCCTCCCAGGCCCCGTCGCGCCCCTCCCAGGCCCCGTCGTGCTCCTCCCAGGCCCCCTAGCGCCCCTCCTGGGCCCCGTCGCGCTCCTCCCAGGCCCCGTAGCGCCCCGTCGCGCCCCTCCTGGGCCCCGTAGCGCCCCTCCTGGGCCTCGTCGCGCCCCTCCTGGGCTTCGTAGCGCCCCTCCTGGGCCCTGTAACGCCCCTCCCAGGCCCCGTCGGGCCAGCCCAGGCCCCGTCGCGCTCCTCCCAGGCCCCCCTAGCGCCCCTCCTGGGTCTCGTCGCGCTCTGCCCAGGCCCCGTAGCGCCCCTCCTGGGCTCTGTCGCGCCCCACCTGGGCCACGTCGCACCCTGCCCGACCCCGTCGCAGCCGCCAGGCCCCGTCGCGCCCGCCCGGCCCTGTCGCGCCCGCCCGGCGCCGTCGCGCCCGCCCGGCCCCGTCGCAGCCGCCTGGCCCCGTCGCGCCCGCCCGGCCCCGTCGCAGCCGCCTGGCCCCGTCGCCCTTGCCTGGCCCCGTCGCAGCCGTCCGGCCCCGTCGCCCCCGCCCGGCCCCGTCCCACCCTGCCCGGCCCCGTCGCAGCCGCCCGGCCCCGTCGCACCCGCCCGGCCGCCGTCCCACTCGCCCGGCCCCGTCGCACCGGCCCGGCCCTGCCGCACTCGCCCGGCCCCGTCGCCCCAGCCCGGCCCCGTCGCGCCCGCTCGGCCCCGTCGCCCCGTCCCGGCCCTGTCGCACCAGCCCGGCCCCGTCGCGCCCGCCCGGCCCCGTCGGGCCAGCCCCGGCCCCGTCCTCCTCACTGGTACGGTTCCCCCCCACCCTGCCTGGCACCGCACTACCCCGCACTACACCGCACTGCACCGCACTGCACCGCACTGTACCGCACTGCACCGCACTGCACCGCACTGCACCGCACTGTACCGCACTGCACCGCACTGCACCGCACTCCATTGCCCTGCACTGCACTGGACTGTTCCTGATGGCGGCGGAGCTTCGCTTCGACGCTGAAGGTCAGCCCCTAGAGTTCGAGGCGTGGCTTGCCGACCTCCGCCGTCAACTCACTGGCCAGCGGCAGGATGGTGAACCGCTTTCCGCACACCTTGACGGTACGCTCCCCTGCCCAGACCCCCCTGCTATTCTGCCCGCTGACCCCACACCCACTGAGCGTGAGGCTACTGCTGCCACTGCCCGTGCGCGCTCTGTCTGGCTTTCTCGCGATGCTGTTGCCCAGCTTGCCATTAGCAACGCCCTTCCCCCATCCGAGCGTCCTCGCTTTAGGTCCCTCACTACTGCTCAGGCATACTTAGATGCTGTGATCAAGCGCTATTCCACCCCTCCGGCTGCCTCGGTGGGTCGCCTGATCCTTCCGCTGCTCTTTCCTGACCTTGCATCTTTCCCCACTGTCTCTGACCTCGCTGCCCACCTGCGCTCGATAGATGAGACCTGGCGCGCTGCCTGCACTGACGCCCAGCTTAGAGCCCACCAGCCGCCCATTACCTCTACCCTCTACCTGCTTGCCACCCGCCTCCCTGACCGCCTTGCTGTCGCCCGCGACCGCTTTCTTAGCGTTCACCCCGCAGACCTCACCCTCACTGACTTTGTAGACACCCTGACTGTGATAGAGACCCGTCACCGCTCCATCGCCCAGGCGAGCGGTGTCGTGCCGGTCCCTATCTTTCAGGGTTGTGCCCCCGCTCAGTGCACCTTCTCCGACGGCCCTGCCGCAGTGGCTGAGACTGCTGCTGCAGCGCAGGTCCGTTCGGGGAAGGGCCGCCGCCCCAAGGCTGGGCGCGGCGGAGGAGGCGGCGGGGGTGCGGGCGGGGGTAGTGGTGGGGTCGGGTCGCCTGGTGCTGGAGTGGACGAGGGGACCCTGCCCAGTTCAGCTGAGTCGCCGCCCCTGCAGGTGCAGCAGCCGCAGCAGCCGCCGCAGTCGCAGCCTTCGCAGCAGCCGTCGCAGACGCGGCAGACGAGTGTCCTCCCGCCCGGGTGGCCCGGCGCTGGCGGTGGCCGGGCGCGTGGTGGTGTGCCGCGTGGTGGCTCTGGCGGCGGGCGTTGTCAGTACCAGATCCAGACCGGTCCTCGCCGCGGCTTCGTTTGCGGTAAGCTCGGTCACTCCACTCCCCGCTGTTTTCGTCGCCTGGACGACCTCTTTCGTCAGCGCTTCGGCCCGTCGCCAGACCTCCCGGACTGGCACAGTTTGCTTAGTCGTCAGATTCAGATTTTTGATATGGACATGGATGCCATTGTTTCTGCTCTGCATGTGATGTACGCTGATGACTGTAGTGTGCTTCCCGCTTATTACTCACTGTTGCCTAGTGTACAGCGACGGAACTTTCTGTCCACATGTTGGTCATGAAGTGGACAAAATCAGAGCCCATGAGAAACTGAGCAGGTTTTTTATTTTCTGGTTTTAAGGTTCTAGTTGCTATTGCTATAGGCTTGTGTGACAAATAATATGTTGTCCAAAAAACACACCATAATAGAACATAGAACAACCAAGATCAGAAGAGGTACACTCGGACAGAATGTTCCCAGGATGAGCCACAGTTGAAATTATCAATATCAATACCGTGTCCATCTCCCCTTGGCCCTATTTCTTGCTGTGATCCTCCTAGGCATACTGTCTAACAGAGATTCACACACGCCAGCCCCAATGCTATCCCAAGTCTCGTGCACCTACTCCCAAGTTTGCAGCATGCCTGTGAGGGGGTGCTCATGCTTGGCGAGCTGCTCGATGGGATTGGGGTCAGGGGGGGAAGAGGGCCATTGCAGGACGGCGAAATCTTGCTCTTCTAGCCACTCTTGAATAATCCTGCGCTTGGGTTTGGGGTCGTACAATGTACTGGAAAGTCATGCCAGAGATGGTTAAATAATAGAAATCAAGAGCTTGAGCCACCTCGTCCTGCAATATCATGCGATAGGGTTGGCCACCCGTGTGGCCATCAATCTTGCACATGTTACCAGGCACATCATACGTCATACATACTCAAACCATGACTTACCCACCCTCATGCTTCACAATCAACTTCACCTGATGCCCTTGGAGAGTGGTGCCTTCGCGAATCCATGCGTGGTTGCAGCTTTCCGAGCAATATCGAGCGATCCGTATCTCGTCCGACCTGATCACCTGCTTTAAGTCGTCCAGAGGCCAGTCCAAATGGGCTCTGACAAAATACCGACGGTCGCGGCCGTTGCGTGCTGATACTTGAGACTTGCGCAGTGTCTGCACGGCGACTAACTTAGGCAGCTTGAGAGCATTTCGTGCTGTACGAGGGTGGACCTTAACATCGTT